GAACACGCACACCACAGTCCGTCCTAGTCCGACATGGGCCTGGCCTCTCGCCTCCCAGAGGCCAGCCTGGTGATGGCCGGCTGCTGGAGTGTGAGCCTGGAGTTGTTAGCACACATGCAGGTGCAAGGAGAGAAGGACACACACACACACACGCGCGCGCACAGAGAATGCCCATCTGGTGTTTCACTCCCCGCAGAGGCCTGTCATGGCCAGCCCTGACCTGTGCCGGGAGCCAGGAGTGGATTGAGGTCTCTTGGGTGGGTGGCTGGAGCCCAGCTACCCTAGCGCTGTCATCGCTGCCTTCCAGGTGTGCATGAGTCAGGAAGCAGAGCCGGGGTTTGAACCCAGACACTCTGGTAGGGAGTGTGTAGACTGCTCGGCTAACCTGCTGCCCTCACCAGTGGGTGAGACCCGCCCTCCCATCCCCCTGGGCATGGCTTGGCGTGCTCTGGGCAGAAGGCCGAGTGAGCCGGGGCCTCTTCCCTCCAGGAGCCGAGCACTGCACTGCTGATGCCTGGAAGCCACTCTAAGGGTCACGGTACCGGAGTGCCCTGTTGGCCCAGAGCTGGTGGAGGCTGTGGGTGCCCCTGCCGGGACCCCTGCTCCCCGTCTGGAGCTTCCGGCTCGGTCAGCCCCGGCCAGCAGGTGTGGACATGATGGTGAGGCTGCAGTGGGGAATTCAGCTCTCCTTGGCTTCGTCCATCAGTGGCTCCTGAGCTTTCCTGGACAAAATGGGGGTCATGTTGACCTTGAGGTGCCATTGTCACGATGATGAAATAATGCCTGCCGAACTCGTAGGACATTCGGCAACTTTCCAATGTTCTCCCATCTCTGTTGCTTTTTTTTTTTTTTTTGAGAGTTATTTATTGACTTGAAAGATGGATTGGCAGAGAGAGGAAGGGAGGGAGGGAGGAAGCTCTCCCATCCACCGACTCACTCCCCGAATGACCGCAGGGCCAGGCTGAAGGCAGGGCTGGAACTCCCCCGGCTCTCCCGAGGCCTTCCTCCACCTTCTGGAGCTTTCCCAGGAACGTCAGCAGGGAGCTGAGGTGAAGCAGAGCAGCCGAGACTTGAACATGTCGGGTATGAGATACCGACAGTGTGCCCCAGCGCTGGCCCCAGTTTGTTACTTTGTGTCAGGAATTTGGGGTGCTGAGAAGGCCCAAGTAGCAGTGTGAGTTGCTCTCTCGCTCCTCCACTGGCACTGGGAGATCCTGGAGATGGCACCGTGCTGACCAAATCAAGAGCCAAGGCTTGTGAGTTGGGGTGGGACAGTGAAGCTAGAACGGTGGCCTCCACTTCCTGAGTGCCAGGTGGTCGCTGCCAGGGTGCCAGCCTGGCCCCCAAACTTGCGTGTCTGTTTCCTGATGTTGCGTGTCAACCCACCACCGCGCACTCGCACTCCAGCTGCTCCGGCCAGTAGCTTTGCACGCTGTCACAGAAGGTTTTCTTGAACAAAATTTGAACTGGATTTTCTCGTTACCTTGAATTGGTGCAGCTCCAACTGTTTTCAGAACTTGTCCCGTGTAACTTGTCACGGGCGTGTGATTTAACCCTTTCAGGGGGCATCCCTGCTGTCTGCAAGGCCTCTTGGTTTTTTTTTTTTAGATTTATTTTTTTTAATTGGAAAGGCGGATATACAGAGAGAGGAGAGACAGAGAGGAAGATCTTCCATCCGATGATTCACTCCCCAAGTGAGCGCAACGGCCGATGCTATGCCAATCCGAAGCCAGGAGCCTCGTCCGGGTCTCCCACACGGATGCAGGGTCCCAAAGCTTTGGGCCGTTCTCGACTGCCCTCCCGGGCCACAGGCAGGGAGCTGGATGGGAAGCGGGGCTGCTGGGATTAGAACCGGCGCCCATATGGGATCCCGGGCGTGCAAGGCGAAGACCTTAACCACTGCGCCACCGCACCAGGCCCTGCAAGGCCTCTTGTACATGCACACCCTGGCCCCGGGCTGCTCGGCTTTGGGGACAGGCGTCCTGCCCCCCAAAGTGGGAGTGCGACTGGATTGTGTGAGAGTCACAGCATGCCTCAGCCCGAGAGCCAGAGGCCTGGTATGCGCTGCTCTCATCTCTCACCCCGTGTTCTGCTCCACCCGTGGACCATGTGGAGCCTCTGTGAGGGAGAGGGGGCCTGGCTACAGGGCCCAGAGGGAGGTGGTGGGGAGGTGTGGCAGGCATTCTTAATTGAGCTTCGTGGTGCTCAGGAACCGAACCTGTCTTGGCGAAGCGCATGGCGCCAGGGCCCTTGGCTGCAGGAGAGAGCTGCCTGCCTGAAGGCACTTCGGCTTTTCTGCCCTCGCATGGCATGCTGCCCACTCCCTCTGCACCCACCCCCTGGGGACGTTTTTCTTCTGAAGGTTGGAAGATTCTCTGTTATCATCGATGGTGGAAATGGGGTGTCCTGGGGGTTCCCCCGCCCCTCCAACAGGCGCCATGTAAAACTCCTCCTGCAGCCACAGGAGCCGTGGAGGGCACCCCACCCGAGTGGAACTGAGTGACTGGGCTCCTGGGGGCCTGGCACGTGCACAAAGCAGGTGTAACCTTTAACGTGCTGTCCTTGACAGCTGCTGATGGTGAAAGTAGGAAGCAGGAAATACCACCGAGCTGCCTTGCCAGCTTGGTCACCCGAGCAGTGACTTCAGAACTCCGTGTCAGTTTCCTGGCTTACGCGTGAAGGAATAATACTTCCCACCTCCTGAGGAATTCTTAGTGCTCTGGCGCTGTGGCACAGTGGGTGAAGCCACCGCCGCCTAGGATGCTGCCACCCGGCGGTTCCAGTCCCGGTTGCTCCATTGCTATCCAGCGCTCTGTTAAAGCTCATGGGAAGGCAGCAGAGGACAGGCACCTGCTTGGGCCCCTGCTTCTCAACAAGGGTGACCTGGATGGAGTCCCACGCTCCAGGGTCCAGCCTGCCCCCAGCTGATGAGACCATTTGAACAATGAGCCAGTGGATGGGAGAGTCTGTAGTTCTGCCTTTCAAATTAAATCAATAAATCCATTTCAAAAAATAGTTCTTTATCTTTACTGTAAAGTCAAATATACAGAGAGGAGAGACAGAGAGGAAGATCTTTTCTCTGCTGATTCACTCCCCAAGTGGCCACAGTGGCCAGATCTGTGTCAATCCAAAGTCAGAAGCCAGGAGCTTCTGGGTCTCCCACGCGGGTGCAGGGTCCCAAAGCTTTGGGCCGTCCTCCACTGCTTTCCCAGGCCACAGGCAGGGAGCTGGATGGGAAGTAGGGCTGCCGGGATTAGAAGCAGCACCCATATGGGATCCCGGGGCATTCAAGGCGAGGACTTTAGCCGCTAGGCCACGCCGCCAGGCCCGATAAATCCATTTTAAAAAATGCTTCAAGTATAAAGGAAGGGCTTTGTCACATCAGGCGTTATTATGTAATTGACTGTTTTGTTCAAAGCAGTCATTGAATGGCCATGTAGCATAGGTTAGGCCACCATGCCAATTGATTCACTTCCGATCCAGCTCCTGCTGATGCACGCAGGAAAACAGCCAACGGAGCTCCAGGGCCCTGGCTCCTGGCTTCTGCCTGGTCCAGCCCTGGACATGGGAGCCACTGGAGGCGTGAACTAACAGATGCAAGATCTTTCTCTGTCTCTCTCACTCGCCCTCCTCTCTCTCTCTCTCTCTCTCTCTCTCTGTGCCTTTCGAGTAAATAAATCTCCCCCTCCCCACACACCAATGCAGTTAAATCAGTGTCAGCTGTGGCCACCTTGTCAGCTTTACTCTATTTCAGACCATAAAGGTAGGAATTTAAGTCAAATTTTGGTCTGTTACAGTCATAGGAAGACAGGCATTTAAAACAGGACTTAAAAAAAAGATTTATTTATTTTTATTGCAAAGTCAGATATACAGAGAAGAGGAGAGACAGAGAGGAAGATCTTCCATCTGATGATTCATTCCCCAAGTGACCACAATGCCCAGTGCTGCGCCAATCAGAAGCCAGGAGCCAGGAACCTCTTCCTGTTCTCCCACGCGGGTACAGGGTCCTAGGGCTTTGGGCTGTCCTTGACTGCTTTCTGAGACCGCAGACAGAGAGCTGGATGGGAAATGGGGCTGCTGGGATTAGAACTGGCGCCCATATGGGATCCCAGCAAGGACTTTAGCCTCTAGGCCATGGCACTGGGCCCAGGATGTTGCTTTAAGTAAGCGCTCTCTCCCTCCTTCCCTGCTGGGGAGGGGGCGCTTGGAAGAGGTGACAGGTGTGGGAGGAGGGGCTTGGAACGGTCAGGTTTGCCCGTCTCTGGAAGGGGACAGGAAAGGCGTTGTGCTCTGGACTGTTGGAGGGTGCTTGGCCTCAGGACTTGTGTCTGCTGGGACATTCGTCGCTCACCAAAATGTTAGATTCGCCGACCACCAGGGAAAGAATAACTCAGCCAAGTATGTGAAAAGAATTCAGATGGCCTTTATTCAGGGAACCGCGGGCTTCCCCACGCAGCAGACAGACAGACGGACGGGAAGGAGTGGGCTGCAGAGGAAGAGCACCCGAGGGACGGGGAAGGCGCCCTTTAAACTCTCCTTGACACTCATTTTGCATTGTGTCGGGATCCCATATGGCACCGATCATGTCCCAGAGACCCCGCTTCCCATCCAGCTCCCCGCCTGTGGCCTGGGAGAGCAGTCGAGTACGGCCCAAAGCCTTGGGACCCTGCACCCGCGTGGGAGACCTGAAGAGGTTCCTGGCTCCTGGCTTCGAATTGCCTCAGCTGTAGCCATTGCAGCCACGTGAGGAGTGAACCAGCAGATGAAAGATATTTCTGTCTCTCCTTCTTTCTGTGTATCTGCCTTTCCAATTAAAAAAAAAAAAAATCTTAGAAAAGAAATCAAGGATGTGCCCTCTAATCCTGTGTGCAAAGCCAGCACGAGCTCGGGGGTCCTGAGGCAGAGCCCCAGCACGCTGAGCGCCTCCGCAGCTTCCTGGCCGCCCCTCGTCCTGCCCGCCCTCTGTCCTGTGGCATTCACTTGCGTCTTTCTCTTTCCAGTGACTTAGCATTGAGGAACTGCTTCCTGACTTCCGACCTAAACGTCAAAGTGGGGGACTACGGGATAGGCGTGAGCAGGTACAAGGTAAGGCAGGGCCGGAGTGATCCCTCCCCTGTAGCCTTGGGTGCCCGCCCTCCTCAGAGGAGGGCTCTGTTCCCTGGGGTGGGCTTGTTGCAGGTGCTCCTGGGCGCACCGGGGTGGGGGCCGGGATGGCCACCTCGCGGCTTTGCTCCTAGGTGCTAGCGTTATCTGTGTAATGAGCCAGTCTCACCACAGAGTTAGTTCTGTTACCTGGTAAGTAAAGTTCTGGCTCCAATTCAGTAAGCTTTGGATTTCAGTATTTGTGAACTCTTGCCATAAGTAGATCCCCAGAGGGAGGTGGGTGAGCTTCCCAGGGTGGCGCTGCGGTGGAGCCATGCAACGCGAGGGTCCCAGCTCTGGGCTGCCCTGGGCCCGGCGGCTGGTGCTCCTGTTCTGTCTGCTCTGCACTGATTCTTTTTAATAAAACTGTGCAAACCTAAGGTCATTGCTGGGGTCCTTAGAGGCCTCAGCACCTTGAATGCTCCCCGTGCCCCACATACCGTGGGGTACTCTGCTACCTCACCTTTGGTCTACACCACACAGGAGGTTGGCAGGCTTGTGTGAGCTTCCTTCTGCAGTGAAGAAGAAGGCTTTGTGGGTCCTGGGCCTGCACCTGCCCCTCTGATGCCCAGGCCCCGAGTTCTGAGACGCTGAGCTGGGGACCTGGCCAGAGATGCTCCCCCATTCGCCTCGGCCCTGAGGATCACTCTGGGCACCTGTGTCAGCGTCCCACTGTGTGCCGAGGGTCCCTCTGGGCACCTGCGTCGGCATCCCACTGTGTGCCGAGGGTCCCTCTGGGCGTCTGCGTCAGCGATCTCACTGTGTGCCGAGGGTCCCTCTGGGCGCCTGCGTCAGCATCCCACTGTGTGCCGAGGGTCCCTCTGGGCGCCTGTGTTGGCGTCCCACTGTGTGCCGAGGGTCCCTCTGGGCGCCTGTGTTGGCGTCCCACTGTGTGCCGAGGGTCCCTCTGGGCGCCTGTGTTGGCGTCCCACTGTGTGCCGAGGGTCCCTCTGAGCACCTGTGTCAGCATCCCACTGTGTGCCGAGGGTCCCTCTGGGTGCCTGTGTTGGCATCCCACTGTGTGCCGAGGGTGCCTCTGGGCGCCTGTGTTGGCATCCCACTGTGTGCTGAGGGTGCCTCTGGGCGCCTGCGTCAGCATCCCACTGTGTGCTGAGGGTGCCTCTGGGCGCCTGCGTCAGCGTCCCACTGTGTGCTGAGGATCCCTCTGGGCGCTTGTGTTAGCGTCCCACTGTGTGCCGAGAGTGAGGGTGCATTTTCTGCGCACGGACAGCCATGCTCAGACCCGCGTGCTCTGCATCCACACAGGAGGACTACATTGAAACAGATGGCAAGCGAATGCTTCCCCTGCGCTGGACGGCACCCGAACTGGTCACCAGCTTCCAAGACAGGGTCCTGACCGCAGACCACACCAAGAACAGCAATATCTGGTAGGTGCCGCCTCCACCTCTGGGGGCCTGGCCATGGGCTGCTTGGTGAAGGGACAGGCATTGTCCAGAGTGCAGGAGCACACACAGCGGCCAGTGAGGTGACACAGGTGGCGTGGGGACCCTGGGGCAGACCGGCACGGCCACGGCGATGTGACTGGCTCTCCTCAGCCTGTCTCTTTCACCTGTTCCCGATGTGAAAGCAGGACCCACATCTGCCCCCTGTTCCGGGCCTCCCCCGGGCCTGGCGCAGAACAGATGGTCGTTACACATTTCTGAAAGTGAAGGAAGGGCCCGGCAGTGTGGCCTAGCGGCTAAAGTCCTCGCCTTGAATGTGCCGGGATCCCATATGGGTGCCGGTTCTAATCCCGGTAGCTCTGCTTCCCATCCAGCTCCCTGTCTGTGGCCTGGGAAAGCAGCAGAGGATGGCCCAAAGCTTTGGGACCCTGCGCCCACGTGGGAGACCCGGAAGAGGCTCCTGGCTTCAGATCGGCATAGTATCGACCCGTTGTGCTCACTTGGGGAGTGAATCATCGGACGGAAGATCTTCCTCTCTGTCTCTCCTCCTCTCTGTATATCTGACTTTCCAATAAATAAATAAATCTTTAAAAAAAAAAAAAGTGAAGGAAGAAATGGAAGGCATTTGGATGATTATCTAACACTGTGACTTACAGAGTTCAGTTTCATGGAAACTAAAAAGATAAACCTAAATGTTTGACTAACGAGTTCTGTCACGGCTTTCTTAACTACCTTTTTTCCCGTCTCTATTCTTACCTTTTGGATTTTTAAAATTCTTTTTTTTTTAAAGATTTATTTATTTTTCATTACAAAGTCAGATAGAGAGGAAGATCTTCGTCCGGTGACTCACTCCCCAAGTGAGCGCAATGGCCGGTACTGCGCCGATCCGAAGCCAGGATCCAGGAACCTCCTCCGGGTCTCCCACATGGGTGCAGGGTCCCAAGGCTTTGGGCCGTCCTCGGCTGCTTTCCCAGGCCACAAGCAGGGAGCTGGATGGGAAGCAGAACTCCTGGTGCGTGCATGAACCAGCAGGACTTCAGCCGCTAGGCCACCACGCCAGGCCCCTGGGGGATATTTTTTCTGGTGAGAATTCCTGTGGATTCCTACAAAGAGGGCCTGCTGGGCGCTGCCCAGTGGTGCTGGGCCACTCAGGTGGCAGGGCCTGAGGCTGCAGACCCAGGTGAGGGGGGCTGTGTGTGGGGGTTCAGCTCTTGGGGCCCTCCTCCCCGGGACATGCACACATTCAGCTGCACGGTGTCCTCTTCACTCCCTGAGGAGGCCAGCACAGGATTACTGCCCCCTTGGACAGGCCCAGGGTCAGTCCTATGCAACTGCTTCACCCCGCTCCGGCCTGGCTGGCCCCTGACCCAAGGCCCAGCACCCCGCTCCGGCCTGGCTGGCCCCCGACCCCAAGGCCCAGCACCCCGCTCCGGCCTGGCTGGCCCCCCGACCCAAGGCCCAGCACCCCACTCCGGCTTGGCTGGCCCCCGACCCCAAGGCCCATCACCCCACTCCGGCTTGGCTGGCCCCCGACCCCAAGGCCCAGCACCCCGCTCCGGCCTGGCTGGCCCCCGACCCCACGGCCCAGCTGCGCGCTGCAGCACAAGCCCTCACAGGGCTGGTTTGGGTTCTGTTCCAGCGACTCCCCCATGTGCCTCTGCACTCTTGGGTGTCTATAGCAGATGCCTGTGACACGTCCTCCAAACACAGGGGACAGAGACCTGAGAATTAGGTCCTTCGCAGAGGCTGCGCTGCACTGGTGTCTGAGCCTGGAGTCATTGTGGATGGCCATGCCGAGTCCTTCCAGGGACAGCAGCCGCACTGCCTGGGGCTCGGGAGTGAGAGGGCCCTCGCCGGCGTAGGGCACAGAAACAATGGCCGCCGGACACCTTTGCACCCAGCAGGAGTTCCTGGATGGTCCAGTGGTTGCTTGCCCAGAGTCAAGCCAGGCTAGACGGGACTGCACAGATAGGCCGGTGGCATCACTGTGGCTTCCCTGTGTGCCTCCGTCAGCCTCTCCAGGACTTAGACCTTGGCCCGCGTTTCTCTCTCTCTGAGGGGGTGGGCCTCCATCCCCACCTTGCTCTCGCTGTCCCCTGGCCTGGGGGGCAGCATCAGGTACACCGCTGATTCACTGAGGTTAGCTGGGCGGCTGCACACCGTGAAGTAGTGTTCATCGGAGTGGCCTGCCCACCGGGCCTGGGGCAGCTCGGTTTTCGGGGCCACAGTTGTCCCCACCAGTCTGGGGCTCCTGGGCAGGTCCCCAGGGGCAACAGGGACCAACTGGCCTGTGGGCAGCTGGGGTTTGGTCGCTCTGGGGCAGAAGTAGCTGGGAAGGAAATGGGGAGATGGCGTGGGGGGCTCAGCCCCATGGGCCTTGAGCGGCAAAGGCCATCAGAACCCTGGGGTGCACAGGGGTCGTGCAGGCCGTGGGTGGGTGGGAAATCCCCAAATGTGCTACTGTGTAGCATTAACTGTTGTTGCAATGAGAGATTTTTTCCTCTTTTTTTTTTTTTTAAGATTTATTTATTTGAAAGGCAGAATTACAGAGGTTGGCAGAAAGAGTTAAAGATTGCCATCCTAGTTTACTCTCCAAACTGCTGCAACAGCCACGGCTGGGCCAGGCAGAAGCCAGGACCTCAGCCGGGTCTCCCATGCAGGTGCAAGGGCCGGGCCCTTGGACATCTTTCAGCTACTTTCTCAGGTCCATCAACAGGGAGCCCTGTTGGAAGCAGAGCAGCTGGGACATGGCTCCATGATGCCAGCCCCCATGCGTCAGCCTCCTACGATATCCTGCTGGTCTTTCAAACAGTTTGAGAGTTCAGAGTCAGCAGTGACATCACCACTGCTGTTTGAGCATGGTCTTGTCTCTACTCCGTGCAGGCGGTCCCTCACTGGCCAGCACCCCCGTGCACGGCACAGGCTGGTGGCCTCTGTCCTTGGCTGCTCGCTGTGCTCTTGGTCCCCCGGACCTCTTGGCAGCCATCCCGACACAGGGAGGAAAGGAGGGTGCTCACCGTCTCCTCTTCTCCACAGGTCCCTCGGCGTGACGCTCTGGGAGCTTTTCGATGGCGCTGCCCAGCCCTACTCCAGCCTGTCCAACCTGGACGTCCTGCAGCACGTCATCCGCGAGCGGCAAGAGAGGCTCCCCAAGCCGCAGCTGGAGCAGCCCCACTCTGACCGCTGGTGCGTGGCTCCCCCCGGGGCTGCCCATGTGTAAGCAGGGCCGCTGTGCAGGCAGTCATCTGTGCGTCACTCCAACACCTGTTTGGGGCATTTAGTAAAGATTTTTTCTATCTGAAAGGTAGAGTTACAGAGAGAGAAGGAGAGACACAGAGAGAGATCACCCATCCACTGGCTCATCCCCAGATGGCTGCGACAGCTGGAGCTGGGCTGATCTGAACTCAGGAGTCGCCCTCGTGGGTGCAGGGTCCTCTGGGCCTCCCCTGTTGCCTTTCCAAGGCATTAGCAGGTAGCTGGAGTGGAAGTGGAGCTGCCAGGACTCAAAGCGGCACCCATCACAGGTGAAGGCCCACTATACCGTGGTGCTGGCCCCAAGACTGACTTCTTTAAATGGCAGAATTAGAGAAGAAGAGATCTTCTGTGTGCTGGGTCACTCCCCAGGTGGCTGCAGTGACTGGGCCTGAGGCAGGCCAAAGCCGGGAGCTTGGAACTCCATCTGGGCCTCCTTGTGCCTGGCAGAGGCCCAGGTACTCGGGCCATCCCCAGGCGGGTTCACAGGGAGCCCAACGGGGGTGGGAGTGGAATGATCTGGACTTGAGCTGGTGTTGGTATACTACGCTGGCATTGCAAGTGGTGGCTTCTCTGACTGTACCACAGTGCCAGCCCTTGCATTTATCATTAAAAAAAAAAGAATGCTACAACCAGCAAGAAATTTCAGTGTGAACTAGTTAGACACCAACACTCTGCAGAACTGTTAAAATGAGGCCGCTTATGGGTATGCTCTGTGAGAAGGCGTGAGGGCACCGTGTGCTACAGGCCCGCGTCCAACACGCAGGCGCTCTTCAGGCCAGTTCAGCATCAGGCCCACCCTATCCCCAGCTGATGGGATCTTGGTGCCCACGTCAGGCCCTGCTCAACTCCCCTTGTTCCCCCAGAGCCTGGCAGCCCAGGCATCAGCATGAGTCGGCGGCGTGTTCCACCTGTCCGCCGTCAGCCGCAGTTGTGCGTGTTGCCCGTGCTCACTGTGGCCCTCCTCACACCCAGCTGCTGCCCAGGCCCCTGCTGTCCGCTCCGTGCCCTCCGCAGGAAGCCTGGCGCTGGGCTGCAGCGTCACCGAGAGCACAGGGCAGGGGGCAGAGAGGGCAGCTCCCAACGGAGCTGTCCATGGGAATTCTCACAGAATTAGGTGAGTGGATCTTAAGGTGGAAGGCAGGGCATTCTGTACCGTGGCAGGGTCTCGTAAGGCTGTTTGTGGGACACGTGGGTGAGTCCCAGGCCACGCCCGCTGGAGCAGGTGCAGACTGAGGCCTGAGAAGTGTCCTGAAGACACAGGAAAGGGCAGGCCCTCCTTTGACTGCAACCTCCCGCAAGCTGAAGCCTCAGTGTGCCAGGGAGCGACCCCGGGGTCCCTCATAGCGTATGTTCTTATTTTCAAATAAGATGCTGCCTCTCCCTGCTGCCCAGGTACGAGGTGCTGCAGCTCTGCTGGCTGTCCCCCGACAAGAGGCCGGCGGCCGAGGACGTGCACCGGCTGCTCACCTACCTGCGCATGCAGAGCCAGCGCGACTCGGAGGTGGACTTCGAGCAGCAGTGGAACGCCCTGAAGCCCAGCACGCACAGCCGGGACGCGTCCAGCAACGCCGCCTTCCCCATCCTGGACCACTTCGCCCGGGACCGGCTGGGCCGCGAGCTGGAGGAAGTCCTGACCGTGACCGAGACGAGCCAGGGCCTGAGCTTCGAGTACGTGTGGGAGGCCGCCAAGCATGACCACTTCGAGGAGCACGGCCGGGGCCGCCCGGACGAAGGCCTGTCCTACACCAGCGTCTTCTTCCCCGTCGAAGTGGTGGAGAGCTCGCTGACGGAGCCGGGGTCCGGCCAGCAGGACGACAGCGGCCAGGACGTGCCCCTGCGGGCCCCTGGCGTGGTCCCTGTTTTTGATGCCCACAACCTCTCTGTTGGCAGCGACTATTACATCCAGCTGGAGGAGAAAAGTGGGGGCCACCTGGAGCTGGATTATCCGCCTGCCCAGCTCACGACCGAGCTGGAAAACCCTGACAGGACGGGCGCTGAGGCGGCCGCGTTCCCAGCTCTCCGGGGCCTGGAGCTCGAGGAGTCGAGCGTGGATGAGGATTTGTTCCAGGGCAGTGCGGCTCCCGGGGCGCCCAGCCTGGCCGAGGAGCTGCGGGTGGCCGTGGGCCCCGAGAGCCCAGCCCTCGGCCTGTTCAATGAGCTTGACAAACCTGAGGACCGGCCCGGCCACCAGAGAATATTCGACCTCATGGAATTAGATGGGATGCAGGCAAACTTAAGGACAGTCTCTTTAAGCTCAGGTCCGAAGGAGCCCCAAGAACCGGCAACGATGCCACCGCTGGAGAGACAAAATCCCCCCAGTTTGTTTGACTGCGAGCCCCTCGGCTGGCCGGGAGACGTCGCGCTCCAGGACGGCCTCGATCCCCTGAATGTGCAGGAGCTGTCAGAAAACTTTGCGTTCCTTCAGGAAAAGAACTTGCTGAAGGGCTCGCTGTCCGACAGGGCTCGTCCGAGTGGTCTCCAGGCGGAGCTGCAGGCAGCGGGTGCCAGCAAGATGCCAGCCGAGACCTCAGGCGGAAGCTCTGCAGACACCGAGCTGGTGTCGGCGGGCAGTACCTCAGGGGTGCCCTCCGTGCGGCAGAGCAGGGGTCAGGATGCGGGCCCCTCGCTGCCGTCTTCCCCCGCGACCTCGCTCCAGGCTGAGGGAGAGCTCCCCGACCTGAAGCCCGGGGAGACCCCGCGCCCCTCTGCGGAGGGCAGCGTCCTTGGGGAGTGTCCCCGCCCGGATGCAGAGCCCGTGGCCGTCCCGGCAGAGGGCAGCCCCGCAGGCATGGGCACTGGAGCCGAGGACTCGGCCCACTGCGGCGAGGAGGCCCTGAAACCAAGCGCCAGCGGCGCTGCTGCCCGTGGCGGCCCCCCGGAGCGGAGCCTGGGCGAGGCGGGCCCAGGAGAGCCCCCCGCTCAGCACCTGCCGCCGCCGCAGCGCGGTTACCCCGCGGGAGCAGGCCTGGCATCCGCCCTGTCCTCCGACTCCACCAGCCAGGACAGCCTCCTGGAGGACAGCGTGGCCACGGCCGTGCTGAGCTCAGAGCAGTCCGCCGAGACCCCCGACTCCCTGGACTCGCTGGACGTCCACGCGGCGCTGCTCGACTCGCTCGGCTCCCGCTCGCCGCAGAAGCCGCCTGCCCCCGAGAAGCCGGCGGACAGCGGCTACGAAACCGAGAACCTCGAGTCCCCCGAGTGGACGCTGCACCCCGCGCCCGAGGGCGCCACCTCCGGCGACGGGGCTCCCGGCGCCGCGCCTCCCAACCCGGTCATTGTCGTCTCGGACGCGGGCGACGGCCACAGAGGCGCCGAGGCGGCCGTGCACGCGTGCTCCCAGGGCTCCTACCGGGACTCGGCCTACTTCTCTGATAACGACTCTGAGCCTGACCGGAAGGCCGAGGAGGCCCCGGGAACCTCCTCCATGCCGGCCTCGGTGCTGGCTGAGAGTCAGCCCCCGCCTGAGCCGGACATCCCGGAGCCGAGAGCCCAGGCCCAGGACGGTGGCCTGGAAGCGGGGCCCAGCCAGCCAGACCCTTGCGGCTGCTCCTCCGCCCTGCAGGATTCCGGTGACCTGGAGTGGAGAGCCACGCCGGAGCCCGCCCTGGCCGAGGTGGCTGGCGAGGCGTGTCCTGCGGAGGACGAGGCCAGCAGCCCCATGGGCCTGTGGCACTCGGAGCTGAGCAGCAGCGAGGACTTGGAGGCCCCGGAAGATCGGCCCTGCACGCTCGCCTCCACTGGAACCAACACGCACGAGCTGCTGGCCTACACGCACGCTGCGGCTGAGAAGCCCTTGTCCTGCCACTCCGAGGGCCCCAAGTTCAAGGAACCGGACGTCGAAGGCAAGTACCTCGGGAAGCTGGGCGTGAGCGGGGCGCTCGACCTGGCCGAGGACGGCGTGGACGCCGACGAGGAGGACGAAAACAGCGACGACTCGGACGACGACCTGCGGGCCTTCAACCTGCACAGCCTGAGCTCCGAGTCGGACGACGAGCCGGAGCGTCCCGTGCCTGTGGTCCTGAGCAGCGACGACGGCAGGCACCTGCGCAGCCTGCTCAAGCCGGCGGCGGCCGAGCCCGGGCCGCTGCCCGAGGAGCGGAGGGAGAAGAAGGCCGTCACCTTCTTCGACGACGTCACCGTCTACCTGTTTGATCAGGTATCGTAGCGCTCTGTGCTTTGGGGGTGTCTTGTTCCCCGCTGTAGCCTTTGAATATACAGCTCCGTCGTGAAGCCAGGGCCTGGGCACCACCGCACAGGCAGGCTTGGTAGTGCCTTCACGTTGGCCTCCCTCCTGGAGGGGCTTGGGAGCTGGCCCTGGGTGCCCGGCTCTGTGTGGCACCTGCCCTCTTGCTGTGGCCTTGGTGGGTCTCTGCATCGGCCTGTCTCCTCCCCTCACTTGACTTCCGCTGTTCTGTTTCCCTGTATGTTTCCCGTGTTCTGCCAGGATGGCGCCCGGCCACCCCCACAGGGAGCCCAGGCCTGTGGGTCTCCTTACGTCGCTCCCACGCCTCAGAGTCTCAAAAAGAGTCCTGTTTGCCACCCAGAGTGGGAAAAGGGAGAAGGACCAGGCCTGGCCCTTGAGCTCTGGGTCTGGTTAACATGCTGTGTGTGCCTTCAGCGACATGCTGCCTGCACCCCAGGAGTGTGAGGGTCCTGGGGGCTAGGAGACACGCATGCCCGCATCTCTGGACTGTTCTGGGACCCACTGCGGCTCTGACAGGGCAGGCTGGTGGCTTAGGAGGAATGAGGGGTCTCGGCCCCTCCTGGGTCAGCCTGTGTGTGTGTTCAGGCTAGCCTTGGTTTCTGTGCCAGGGCATGGCTGCCCCTGTAAGTTGGGAAATATTTCCTCCTCATTGGGAGAAGATTCTGGAAAAGCTGATGTGGGTTTGTCAGTCTTCCCAGAGTTGCTTTTGGTTTCAGGGATAATTTTTGGTTGTTACTCCTCCTGTGTGGCTTGGGTTTCCTTTGAGCTCCTGAGCTGAGAGCTGAGGTGGGAGAGCTGCCTCAGAGCCCAGCCATGTAATGCTGTCATTTTGCACGTTCCCGCCAGGCCAGTGGTGCGTGGTCTGTCACGCTTCCCTGTCATCTATGTCTGACCCCTCTCCGAGCTCCCCGAGACGCCGTCTTTGCATGTGAACCCGTTACAGGTTAGCTGCCCCTGCCAGATGTGACAGGTGTTCCTGCTCCTTTCTTGTCACTGGTTTCTGCTCGGACCCCCTCAGGATCAGAGGATGTGTTTTATTCGGCTCTGTTTCTCTTCAGTTGGTTAGAGGTTTAAAACAGGCCGGGGCCTGGCACGAAGGCTCAGTGCTTAAATTCTCCCCTTGTAAGTGCCAGGATCCCATATGGGCGCCGGTCTGTGCCCCAGCTGCTCTGCTTCCCAAAGCACTGGAGGACAGCCCAAAGCCTTGGGTCCCTGCACCCGTGTGGGAGACCTGGAGGAAGCTCCTGGCTCCTGGCTTTGGATTGGCGCAGCTCTGGCCGTTGTGGACACTTGGGGAGTAACCCAGCTGATGGACAGTCTCTCTGTAATTTAGACTTTTAAGTAAAATAAATAAATCTTTACAGAGTAAAAAATGGAAAGATAAAACAATTACAGGTCCCAGATAAGTGGCAGGTGTGCATGTGTGGCTCCCAGCACGTGGGCTGCCCTTCTGGCCCAGCGCGTGTGGCTGGTTGCCGGCTGTGTCTTCCTGCTGTCCAGTCTGCCCGCGCCGGCTACACCAGAAGCGTGGTCTCCCGCCATCGCCTCCTGCAGCTCTGAGCCGCGGCAGGGCCTGGATGGGGAGGGTGCCGGTGCCTCCTGGAGGAGTTGGCCCGTTTAAGCCGCCTGTGTCCTTAGCTCCGCCTCGTCTCATACATGTTTATGCACCTATTCTGGGTTTCTTTTGATTGGTTTGTGCCTGTTCTACAGTTGTGGGTTTGTTTTGTTGAAGATTTATTTATTTTTATTGGAAATTGAGATTTACAGAGAGAAGGAAGCAGAAAGATCATTCACCTGCTGATTTATTCCCCAAGTGGCCACAACGGCCGGACCTGAGCCAGTCTGAAGCCAGGAGCTTCTTCCAGGACTCCACATGGGTGCAGGGTCCCAAGGCTTTGCACTGTCCATTACTGCCCTCCCATGCTGCAAGCAGGGAGCTGGGTGGGAAGTGCAGCAGCCAGTGTGTGAGCCAGTGTCCGTAAGGGATCCTGGGGTTTGCGTGGGGAGGATTAGCCAGTTGAGCCATCGCACTGAGCCCTGTGGTTTGTTTCATTTTGTTTTTTTTTTTTCTGGCTCTTATACTTCTTAAATGAGTTTCTTGTAGCTAGAATATAGCCAGTTAAGCGTTTGTTTGTTTGTTTTTTCCTTCCTTCCTTTCTAAAATTGATTGATTGATTTGAAAGGCAGAGTTACAGAATGAAAGAGGAGCAGAGACAAAGAGCAGCTCCTCCGTCCACTGGCTCACTCCCCAGATGTCTGCAGTGCCTGGGACTGTGCCAGACTGAAGCCTCTATGCGGGTGCAGGGCCAAGCACTTGGGCCATCCTCCGCTTTCCAAGGCCCGCTGGGAGGTTGACTGGTTGACTGCCCAAATGGCCGCAGCAGTTACAGCTGAGCTGATCCGAAGCCAGGCGCCTCTTCCGGGTCTCCCACACAGGTGCAGGGTCCCAAGGCTTTGGGCCGTCCTCGACTGCTTTCCCAGGCCACAGGCAGGGAGCTGCATGGGAAGTGGAGCCACCAGGATTAGGACCAGCGCCCATATGGGATTCTGGCGGGTTCAAGGCGAGGACTTTAGCCGCTAGGCCATGGAGCAGGGCCCCTGATAACCTGTCTTAATTTTAATTTATTTATAGTGTTATCACTTTTTTTGAAAGTTCGCAGAGAAGAGAGAAAGAGCTCTTTCATCCACTGGCTCGCTCCCCCAAATACTCACGCAGTTAGGGTGGCCCAGGCTGAAGCCAGGAGCCTGGAACTCCCTGTGGGTCTCCCCGGTGTGTGACCCAGACCCAAGACCTGCTGTTTGTGTCCCGGCGTGTGCATTAGCAGGTCCAGGATCAGAAGCGGAATAGCCCAACTGGAAGCAGGCCCTCCGAGGCGGGCTGCCACAGTCCCGCTCTGGCTCGGCCCAGCCCACTCATGTTTTTCAAGCACGTGGGGACACGTAGATGGTGTTCGCGTCTGTCCTGAGGCGTTTGCCTCAATCTCTCCTTTTTCCCAGCTGCCTGACGCTCATTCCTGAAAGATACTCTTCTCAGAATTGAGAATTCTCGCAGCTTCTCCCCTTCCTCGGTGTGTAGAACGGTCGTCCCTGCCCCGTGGCCTTGGCGTCTGCTCTAGGGAAGCTGCAGCCACGTCTCCGTGTCAGTCAGGCAAAGCGCACGCCTGGTCTCGGGTGCCAGGTGTTGGCTCTGTCCTCTGTGCCCAGCAGGTTGGCTGTGGCGCTCCTGGGTGCAGCTGCGTGGCCTCGCTGAGCTGCTGGCACCAGCTGTGGGGCTGCTGTTTGTCCCCGGCGTCTGACCTCGTGGCCCCGGGTCCCCCACACCCCCGCCTGTCCTCCTTGCTGTGCCGAGTCCTCCACTTCCCTGCCCCTCGAGCAGTTTTACTTTTTCTGTGCTGAATGTTGCGTTTCCCACCCCCCACCTCTGTCCTTTGGTTGACACTTTGTTTCTTTCCTTTGGAAGTGTGTCGGTGGGGGTGCCGCCTGCCCCAGGTGGTTCTGTGGCGGGGTGTCCCCTCCCACACGGCAGGCCAGCCTTTCCGGCTTCTCGGAGCCAGGTGGTTTCGGATCACGTCCTCACGTCACGTTTCGCTCTGGAGGCACTGACCCTCCCGGCCCGGGCCTGAGCCCAGCTGTGGGTTGCGGTGTCAGTTTTGCTTCCCCTTTCAGAGCCTGAGCTGTACCCTGTGCTGGCTAGGTGCTGCCCCACCCTGGTGGGGTGCTGGGGTCAGCTGGGTGTGACTGGGGGGGGGTCCAGGAGCTCCTTTCCCCTCCCCCTTGTTGGTGTGCACACTGCGCCACACGCTTCCTGCACAGTGCCCGCGCGCAGCCCTGGCACTGGAAGCTGCTTCCCCAGAGAGGCACCTGCCAGCCTGCAGCCGTGTGGGGCTGGGAGCTGCGGGTGGAGGCCCTGAGGGAGCAAACCTGACTGTCCTCCCTTTCGTCGCCCCAGACCCTCCTGCCCCATAGCCCGAGGTGGCGGGGTCTCCTGTCCCCCGGCTTTCAGGCTGGGGGATGGTCGGTGGGGGGCTGCCTGCTGCCGTCCCCTGCCTGGGGAGCTGCTTCATGCAGCCTGACCCAGCTGACCCACGGGCACGCGGGCCCGCTCCCACGAGCAGTGTGGCTGATGTGGACTCTTTCCGTTTGGCTTCTCAGGAAACTCCTACCAAGGAGCTGGGGCCCTGCGTGGGAGAAGCACGTGCTCCCGAGCCCTGCAGCCCGTTGCTATCCGCGGGGCCGCCCTGCCTGAGCAGGTGTATAAATTCCGAAAGCTCCACTGATGACGAAGGTACCTGAGACCCTGGGAGGCAGGGCGGGGCCGGGGGACCGTGCAGGGGAGCTTGGCTCGCTGCTTTAAATAGTGACCCCGGGCAGTGGGCTCTGCTGTGCGAGGGATGAGCACTCGGGCCCTTCCTGCCTTACCTGGCTGTGCTGTGTTGGCAGGTGGAGGCTTTGAATGGGACGACGACTTCTCCCCTGACCCGTTCATGGCCAAGACCACGAGCAGCCTTCTGGCCTCGCAGGCCACCCTGCAGTCCAAGTACTTCTCCCCGCCCCCTCCCGCCCGCAGCCCTGAGCCCAGCTGGCCTCCCCCAGCGCCCTGCTCCAGGTTCTCCATCTCGCCTGCCAACATCGCCAGCTTCTCGCTCACACACCTCACAGACTCGGACATGGAGCAAGGAGGTGAGGGGGCCCTGTGTGTGCTGGGGGGTGCGTGGGGCCTCTGCTATGCTCAGTTCCCCGGCTTTGCCGTCTGCCCCGTGCTGGAGCCGGGAGTCTGGGGTCCTGGTTCCTCTGGCCCAGGAGGCATCCCAGATGGGCGGCATCTCCTCCCGGCCTGCAGTACGCACCCTTCTTGCGTGTCTCTGCTTCCCCAGGTTCGCGCTGGTAGCGCTCCTAACCTGGGCTTTGGAGTCACGCCCAGGTCCTTCCCTGAGCCGTGTTGACTTTGCCATTAAGTCTTGGTCTCTGTGACCCAGTGGCTGCTGGGAGCACCTGGGTAGGGGCACATTTGAAGTGGTAGTGTCTGAACAGGTGGGGGTTCCCCACCCACCCACCCCGCGGATAGATTGAAAGATAAGTGTTAATAGGCGCATTCTTTGACGTGAAGTTTGCAGATCAAATAATGAGCACAAAACCTAAAGAGCTTTTATCAGTGTTTGCACCTGCCTCACATGTGCGGCCTCGCCGCGCCCACAACCTGCACTGCGTGTAGCACAGGTGTGTGTCGGGCCGTGTTCCCGCTGGCTGCCAGGGCCGCGTGGGAGCCCAGCAGATGTGCACAGGGAGGGGGTGGGGCCGCGGCCTGTTCCCACATCTGCAGCCAGCCCTGCTGGTAGCCGCCACGGGTGTGCTCAGACACTCACCCGTCGTGTTACGGCCTCTGTCCCAAACAGGAAGCAGCGAAGACGGAGAGAAAGATTAGGCAGCTGCGGTCAGCTCCGGCTTGTGGCCTGCGTGACCTGCCGAGAGACGTCCGCCGGCGTTTGCTGACATGAGATGTGGGGGAGGAAGCAGGAGGCGCACACGGAGGTGGCCCTGAGCCCTGTCCAGTTCGGGGCCTTCAGAGAGCCCGACTGGGGCAGGTCCCGGGTCCCCGGCCGCTTGATGCGCTGCCACGCCGGGGTCCCGCTGAGGCTGGGCACATGGGCTGTGCGTCTGTTCTCCGAGGAAGCCCTGTGCCCTCCCGGTACCTTAGCACAGGTGCCACGGAGGACGCTTGAGGGGAACGGTCACGAGTGAGCCATATTTATTACTTTTCAAGAAATCACTAATTGCTTTCTGTAATTGCACTGTGGATAAATGTTCTATGAGTTCCCAATATTGTACAGAATCTTAAATTATTCAAGGAAAACAAGGCAGGACAAGCTGGTGCCACCCACTTGTTTGATTTCTTTCTCTGTTTCATGGTTTGTTTGCCCTGCACGGTACTTGTAAAGCTTCAGAATTCTGCGTGCCAGGCCATCTTCCAGGTGGCTGGACTGCGCACATGGCACTCACCGGCCACAGTGACCCTGGGCAGGACTGGCCTCTGTGCTGTCGTTAATGAATTCAGAAATGCCGCTGATGTGTTGTTGAGGCAGACACATGTCTGTCTTGTGGCCTGGGACCTCGGCTGGCTCTTTCTCCCTGCCTCACCCCTGAACTCGGCTCTGGCTGCGATGCCCAGGTCCCTAGCCCTTCCCCAAGGGCCGGCTGACAGCAAGACCACCACAGGGAGGAAGCATCGGCGGGCAACTCCGGCATCCGGGGCAGCTCCGTTCTCTTTGTTCATGTCACATCCTGTATCTGACTTCGAGAAAGCATCTTCAGGCTGGACTTTCTGCTCCGAGCCCCTGCAGGTCACAGCCTGGTGTGACAAGTGTGTAACCCAGCAAACACATCGCATCGCACAGCTGCAAGGAGGAACAGAGACGGACGGCATTGGAGCCTGAGCGGCCACACATGTGAGCCCGGGGATCCTGGGCTCAGTGCCATGCCTTCCCCCTGCTTGGAGCAGGCCCGGTGTGTCCCGGGCTCCGTTCTCGCCACCGAGTTCTGTGCTCAACTGAGGAACTGGCCAGCGACCAGCGTGGCCACACGTGGGCCCCTCTTCACACCGGAGCTACCCAGGGAGGAGCTTGGGCATCGGACCGGTCTACGCTGCGACTTATGACCTGTGTCTGTCCGGGCTCGCCGCGTGCTGCTCTGAAGCAATAACTCCCCCGGGCGGGGGACTTGAGAGCAGAGTCCCCGACCCACCCCATATCCCCCCCCACGTGACCAGGCATCCCGGGTTCTGCCGAGCACGCTGCCTCCTGTGCTCAGGCACCAGGGGCCAGTATTGCCAAATCCACCCTCTGGCAGCGGAGGCCTTGGGAGGGTTCCTGAGCGTCCGCACCCACCTGCCAGTCAGACCGCGAGGTCAGCCCAGGACACGGGGTGGCTACTTGGGAGCCGAAGTTTGTCCCCTGCACTGTGGAGCTCTTCACAGTATCATTCCCACTCTATCTCAAGCCTGTGCGGCTCTCATAATTAATTGCCAAAACATTTTCTACATTGAGTTGGGGGGTTAGATCTGACTGTGGTCCCGCATGGACTTACATTTGTAATGAACCACAGTTCACACTCTTCTGAGATCACAAGCAATACCCATGAGATTTAACCAAGTCGTTGTTTCCTTGTCGCCAGCCCTGTCTTGGACGGCCAGCATGTGGCCTTGTGACCCGATTCAGTGTTGCAGCCCCTTACCCAGCCACGGGGAGCCATGCAAGACAGCTAGCTGGCCGCCCCTTCCGACTGCCCGGACCTGTGTCAGTGCTTGTCACATGGTGGTTCCCAATCCCATCACCCAGGGCCCCTGCCCTCCGCCCCCTCAGTACGTGCTCATCTGCGACCTCCAGCGGCCCAGGCAACAGCCAGGGAGGAGCCGAGACCCTCCGGGGGGCTAGCCCCGAGCCCACCCCGTGGAGACTGCAGAGTCTCCCACCGGGATGCACAGGCCCGAGGGGTCCCGGAGAGGTGCCTCTGCCCCGGCGGCGGCGGTGGGGGTGAGGGCCCCACGCACGCGCAGCCTTAAAGCTACGACAGGCGTGCCCAGCTGCTTTCCCGCACACGTCCTCAGGGCGTGTGAGCACCGCAGGGCCACCCCTGGGCGGGAGCCATGCAGCCAGCCCTGGCATCCACAGGGCCCTGGGACGGGGTGTGTGAACCCTCACAGCCCCAGGCGCTGGCCCTGTCATGGCAATAGAACAGTCACTGACCTTCAGTTTAAATTGTGTACATTTTTAAAATTGTAAGATTTTTACTGTATATTGATGCATAGTGTGATTCGATAAATTGCTTGTAATTTAAAAACTATTTAATATTCAAAATAAATATAGTTATATATTTATAAACTCTGTATGCTGTGTTCCTTTGGCCTGGGGCCCTGGCCCCGACAGACCGTCATCTCCCACCCCCAAAGATGCTGAGCAGTGCAGGCAGGTGGAGCCCCTGGACTGGTGCGCTGTGGGGTCCATTCTGGGCTGCCTTTCACAGAAGGCAGTAGGTCCTTGTGTGGCTCAGCTTGAGCTCCAAGCCAAGGGAGGAGCCAAGACCCTCTGGAGGGCGAGCCCAGCCCTCACCTTCCTGGTCTCCTGTAGGTGGGTCCTGGCACCTGCCCAGGGAGGAGGCTCTTCCAGCTCCCCCACCCCGCCCTGCAGCCCAAGCACACTGTGCACCGGGCTCCGGGAATCCCCAAGCAAGGTGCTACTTCTGGCATCTTGGAGTGCACCCCCGTACAAGGGTGCCCAAGTATAAAGGGGCGGCAGAGCCTGCTAGCCCTATCTGTCGGGCTTCTGCACTTAGTCTGAAAACCCCATAGCGCCCAGCCCTCCCCGCCCCAGCTGCGGAACAGCCTGCACGTGGGCATCCTGTCCTGTGGGCCCACCAGCCTGGCGGTGGGAGGCGGCGGCCGGGGCGGTGCTGGAGCAGGGTGGGGGGAGGGTGCGGGACACCACGGGAGGGTTCCCTGGCCAGGGCCACCCGGTCCTGCCGCCAGCCCGCAGGTGCCGCCACCCCGCAGGCCGGGCCCGCCCAGCTCATTTGCATGCGTGCAGCCCCGCCCGGGGCTGCTAAAGCGACGTGTCCTTGTCCCCCGTGGGCAGCCTCGGAGCGTGCAGCCGCGGATCCTCAGGTAGCATGGGAGAACTGGGGGCGGGGAGCCCAGGGAGGCTACAGGGAGGGGGCGCCCAGGGAAGAGGGAAGGGTCTGGAATTCTATCCGTGGGAGGCCATCCACGTGGTGGGATTGGGGCCGGCGCTGACCATGGTTACCCCTGACCTGCCACCACGATCCTAGGCCAGTGCTGTCCCTGCAGGTGTCATGTCCAGCGGAGCCAAATGGCAAGTCCTGCCCCTGGGGCACAGGGGAGGCTGCCCAGAGCTGGGGTGGCCTGGGCAGTGTCAGAGCTGGCTCAGGCTCGGGGGGCAGTGAGGGGCAGGGCACAAGGCCCTAGATCCAGGGGGCTTCCTCTCCCCACCCTGGGAAGGGGATGCAAGGACAGGGGGAGGGCTGGAGGTGGTCCGTGTGAGGGTCAGCCTGCACACCAGCGGCTGTGTGTCCAGGAAAGTTCCTGGGGTCCCTGTGCATCCTCCGGGAGGCCGAGGGGACAGAGGGCAGCAGAGCCGATGACCACAGAGGGATCCTGCGCTGTGCATTTCAGCTCTGAGTGCCACCACTTCCTGGGACTACACCATTCAGAGCCATGAAGACCAAGAGCCGGCCTCCCCGGCGCCAGGCCAGGGACACGGAGACCCCCTCTGCGGAGCGCATGTCCGACGCGCCCCAGGAGGGCCCAGGGCCGGAGCTGAAGGGGCTCCGGAGCAGGGCCCCCCGGGGAACTGCAGGGGCGCGGGCTGAGGGCGGAGGACGACGCAGGCCAGGTCCCAGCGGCAGTGGCCGGCGGGAGAGCAGCATCCAGCGGCGCCTGGAAAGCAATGAGCGCGAGCGACAGCGCATGCACAAGCTCAACAACGCCTTCCAGGCGCTGCGCGAGGCCATCCCGCACGTGCGGGCCGGCAAGAAGCTCTCCAAGATCGAGACCCTCACGCTGGCCAAGAACTATATCAAGTCGCTCACCGCCACCATCCTGACCATGTCCAGCAGCCGTATCCCAGGCCTCGAGGGGCCGGGCCCTGCGCCAGGCCCCCGGCTCTACCAACATTACCAGCAGCAGCAGCAAGCGGCCAGCGGCCAGCCCGGTGCCGCCGAGGCTCAGCCACAGGGTCACCTGCACAGGTACTCCACGCAGATCCACAGCTTTCGGGAGGGCACCTAGACTGGTGGCTGGCTGGCTGGCTGGCTGGCCGACTGGCCGGTCCACCCCAGCCCTGCCCTCTGTCCTTTCGTCCTACCAGCCCCACACTCCTGCCCCAGCGCCCCTTCCTTCCCCCATTGCCTGAAGGGCAGCACCTACAGCCGTCCTCCCGGACCAGCGAGGGCAGAGTGAGGCCGGACCTGCGGGTTCTGGGAGGGGCCCTTGGTGGACTAGGCCTCAGCTTTGCAGACTGAATTCTCTCGACTGCCACCCCTCCCTGGCAGGAACCGGTTCCAGGAAGCAGCTTGCTGCTGCCCAGAGGCCTGAGAACCCCGCCTGGGGGAGGGGCTGTCCCACCTGCACCGCACACAGCACGTGGTGAACTGAGGACCGAAGCCCTCTAAGCAAAGCCCAAGTCCTCGGTGGGGGTGTGTGCAGCAGCTGCAGAGGTTCGTCAGAGGATGGGCACAGTGGGCCAGCACCCCCGAGGCTGGATGTCCCCACGCTGCCCACGTGAGCTTGTCAGGGCCAGGAATGCCCCAGACACTCTAGCACGCCCTCCCACCGGAGTTGGGTTGGCCCAGGACTGGCAGCGGGCCTCAGCATGTTCCTGGGTGACAGGGTGGATTGGGGAGAGGGCAGGGAAGGGCCTGGCAAGAAGAGGCCTAGGGGTGCCTGGAGCTCCCCTCCCCCAACCCGGGGCAGCCTGGCAGGCCCTGCTGCCCTGGCTCCGGCTTCCTGCTGTCGGGGCGTTCCGGGTCCACTGCTCTGTCAGCCCCGGCCCCGTGCTGTCAGCTTGGCTGGCATTTCTCCTCCTCATCCCCCTGCCTGGAGCTGTGCCAGAGGCCCTCGGGGCAGGACCCTGCGGACCTGGGGAGCAGGGAAGCCAGTCTGGGGTTTAGGGGTGGGAGTGAGTGGTGGCACAGACAGGCTTGGGGTGAGCCCTGGCCACACACACACAGGGCAGCTGCAGCGCGCTCCTGAGGGTGGAGACCCCAGGCCTTCGTTGGGGTGAGCCAGGACTTCTGTGGGCATCAGCGGACAGTGGAAGCCCCCAGGAACTGGGGGACATCCAGTCCTGACGGGAGCTTAACAGATCCTGCCTGGTGACAGCTTCAGGGCGAACTGGGCAAGCTGGCCAGGCCTGTGGCTGGTCCCTCTCCATCCTGGTCCTGGATCCGCGCCCAGGCTGGCCTGTCCCCCGCCCTCCGCTGGCCTGCAGCCCCTGCCTGCCCAGGACACCTGCGGGCCAAGCGGGGGGTGGTCCCATGTAAGCAGAGAAACCAGTACTGCAGCTTTTATGTCTTGGAGAATCCACCTGGAACTGGCGGCCGTGCCCTCACTGTAATTGCAGGGAAAATGGTTCTTCAATTACCCCAATTTGCATTTTATTATTTTTTTCAAATGGCGCTTCCAAAAGTAAGGGTGACATTCATGCCACATTGTCACAGACTAGAAGATCCTGTTTCTGTGTTGGCCCCCATGCCCCGGGGTACTGTGCATGGTCGCCAGAACATATCGATAATAATAATAATAATAAACCCTACAATGCCATGTCATTGACACTCTGGTGTAATTTATTAACTAAAGTAGCAGAGGAACCAGGCCGGCCCCACCACCCTAGAGAAGGCCAGAGAAGGCCTGGCAGTGCGGGTCTCCACGGTGGCCAGCGACACAATGCCCCAGAACACCTGACATTGAAATGTAAACAGCGTCCCCCACATGGCGACGGGGCCCGCCCACGACTAACGGGAGGCCTGGGCACCTGCCACACGTGGTCACCTCCAGCCACTGCCCAGGGTGCCTCTGACGCCCTCTTTCCTCCTAGTCTGACCTACACCGCACAGCAAAACGCAGGCTAGGTCAGCACAGAGCTGGCCGCTGTGCTTCAGACGGCCAAACGGCCCGGACCCAGGGCGTACCTGCAGAAAGCCAGTGGGCACCCTGGGAAACCGCAGCCGACAAACTCTACCAGCGACCTGGGCAGCTCGTCTTCTCGCCCGGGGCCGGGCACCGCTGTCCCACAAGGCCAGCAGGTGCCCTCCGCGCTGTCCTGTGCGCCTGCCCAGAGGGGCTCGGAGTGCTGCGTCCGCCAGGCTGCTGCTAGCCCAAGCCTCTGCGGGTCCTTGGGTGCAGCTCGTCCTCCCACTCCCGCCCCACTGCACGACGGCACACACACGGACGACGCCCCCCTCCACCTCCGGCCAGCCCCGCGCCTGGGGGAAGGGGCTCCGGGCCCCACGCGCGGCAGCCCCAGCTGGTGCTCCTGCGGCTCCCAGGCCCGGATGCCCACGCGCAGAGGCAGAAGAGGCTTGGTCCAGGGCCCCAGTCCCGCCCAGAACGTGCAGGACACAGGCGGACGCGTGCTTGCGCGCGCAGCTTCACGTGGCGCGGGGTCTCCGAAGCGGCCACGACCCTCCTGCCTGGGCGACCGCCACCACGGGGCACACTCCCACGCAGGCCAGCCTTCCAGGTGAGCGGGGTCGGCTTCAGCAGCACACGGGGCCCGGGGCTTCCAGCGTGGCCCTGGGCTCCGGCTCTCGGCACGCGCCCCGGGCCGCCCTGGTGGCGTTGGCCCGGACAGAGATGTGGTCCCAGCCTCCCTGGGTGGGGTGGACATGAGGAGAGTCAGGTCATGGGGGCCGGGTGGTGCTGTGGCTTGGGCACCCTCCCTCCCTGGGCTGCCACCCGTGCTGCCCGCTTACCCCGATGCCGTAGTCCCAGCCCTGGCCCTTGGGCGCGTGGGGCTGGACGCCCGTGCGGTGGCACACGGTCCCGCGGCTCAGGCTGTGGCTGCCCTGAACCTTGTCTGCGATGACCCAGACCTGGAACATGGACCGGCTGAAGCCGGGGCACTGCAGCGGGTGGGAACTGGGCGGGCAGTGGGGAGCTCAGAGGAGGAGCCCCTAGCACCCCGGGACTGAAACCTCCCGCGCCAGACCTGGTCCAGGGGTCCCACGGACACTCTGCGCACGTTGTTGGAGACGTGCTCCCAGCTGGAGCCCTGCGGGTAGCTGGGCGTAATCCCCACACGGTACCACAGGTTCCCTGGGGAGAGAAGTGGGGTCAGAGTGGAGGCTAGGGAGCCGGCGGGCTCGGGGAGGCAGGGGGAGGCCTGGCCTGAGGCACACCTGCTTTCCCATGCTCCTGGCTTCTCCACCCTCCCCACCGCTTCTCCACCCCCTGGGTTTCTCCACACTCCCTGAGGCTCTCCATCCCCTGGGCTTCTTCACAACCCCCTTCTCCACCCGTGGGCTCCTCCACCCCTCTAGGCTTCTCCACTACCCCTGGGATCCTCAACACCCCCAGGCTTCTCCACACACAACCCCTCTTTTATCTTCCCCCCACCCGGGGCTTCTCCATCCTCTTGGCTTCTCCACATCCCCCCACCCCACACCAGGCTCTCCACACCTTGGCTTCTCCACACCCCCCCAGGCTTCTCCACACCCCTGGCCCTCTCTGGCCTGCAGCCACTTCAGCCCTTTCCTGGTCCTGGGCTTTCCAGGGCCTCATAATCACTCCATTGTGCTGGGCAGGCTGCACCCCCGTCCTGCTCCAAGGCACAGACTGAGCACAAAGCTGACTTGACACAAAGCAGAGGACTGGGTTGGGAAGAGTTTCCTTGACGCAGGTCTGGATGCTGCCGTCTGCCCACGCATCACTGCCCCTGTGGCAGCAGGGCTGCAGGGGGGCCGTCCAGGACCCTGCCCAGGGCAACACAGGCGTCTGGCTAACTTGGCGAAGAGATGCCACCGGGGCCTGGGGCAGTGCTGCTCCACGCCCAGCTCCTGAGGGCCAGGCCTGGCCACAGCTCCCAGGTCCTGCCTCCATCGGTACTGACATGGGCTGGGCTTGCTGGTGCTCCACGGCCAGGCCGGGGCAAGCACGGACGGGCTCACACGCTTTGGGGGCCCCAGCTCGTGTGACTTGCCCTCCGACCCCTTGGAGAGCCCAGAGGCACCCTGCCCTCTACCCATGGGGAAGCAGCACGGAGCCAACTTGCCATTCTCATCCAGGGCATACACCGACGTCTGCCCCACGGACACCTGTGCCAGCCTCTGCTTCGAGGGGGGCGGGATGTGGTACCAGCAGTCACCTGCCGTGGAGAAGTGATTAAGTGAGGTTTCCCACAGAAACAGGAGCACGTAGGGCCGGGGGGGATGCGGCCACACTGCTGCCGGCCTCTGCGGGCACCGCACTCACCTGCCGGCTTTGCGGGGGACACAGAGCCCCGGTAGAAGGCAGAACCGTCTCTGGCCACAGCCCACACCTGGTAGCAGGCCCCAATGGAGATGGAGGTGAAGGGCTGGTCGGTGCCCACATGCAGCCAGGAGGAGCCCTGTGCAGAGGCAAGGAGGAGGGTGCTGTGGGTGGCTGGGACAGTGGGGGCCTAGGACCTATGGGTGCGATGACCCTGCTGGGCGGTGGCAGGGGGCACAGGCTGCATGGACCCAGCCTTGCCTGCAGCCCTGAGGGCTGGGGATGGGTGGAGCTGGGGGAGGGGTTGCTCACCGCAGGGTTGAGCTCGGACACGCCGAGACGGCACAGCACGTCACCCTTGTCGCTGACTGCCCAGAGCGCGATGCTGTGGCTGCGCTGGGCGGCCGGTGGGCTCCCGGGGATGATGGACACGTCCCCCAGGGCGATGGGGGCCACCTCCAGCCAGGGTCCACTTGTCACCAGCTTGCACTTCCTGCTTAGGAAGAAGCACAGCCCTGAGGGTGACCCGGGGAGTCACCTGGAGGCGTGTGTGTGTGTGTGTGGTGTGTGTGTGTGGTGTGTGTGGTGTGTGTGTGGCGTGTGTGTGTGTGGTGTGTGTGTGGGGGGTGTGTGTGGGGTGTGTGTGGGGTGTGTGTGGTGTGTGTGTGTGGTGCGTGTGTGGTGTGTGTGGTGTGTGCGTGGTGTGTGCGTGGCGTGTGTGTGTGGTGTGTGTGTGTGGCGTGTGTGTGTGTGGTGTGTGTGGTGTGTGTGTGGTGTGTGTGGTGTGTGTGGTGTGTGTGTGTGTGTGTGGTGTGTGTGTGTGTGGTGTGTGTGTGTGTGTGGTGTGTGTGTGTGTAGTGTGTGGTGTGTGTGGTGTGTGTGGTGTGTGTGTGGTGTGTGTGTGTGTGGTGTGTGTGGTGTGTGTGTGTGTGGTGTGTGTATGTGTGTGTGTGTGTGTGTGGTGTGCGGTGTGTGTGGTGTGTGTGTGTGGTGTGTGTGCTGTGTGTGCTGTGTGTGGTGTGTGTGTGTGTGGTGTGTGTGGTGTGTGGTGTGTGTGTGTGGTATGTGTGTGTGTGTGGTGTGTGTGCTGTGTGTGTGTGTGGTGTGTGTGTGTGTGTGTGGTGTGAGTGTGTGTGTGTGTGGTGTGTGTGGTGTGTGTGGGGGGGGTGTGTGTGTGTGTGGTGTGTGTGTGTGTGGTGTGTGTATGTGTGTGTGTGTGGTGTGCGGTGTGTGTGGTGTGTGTGTGTGGTGTGTGTGGTGTGTGTGCTGTGTGTGGTGTGTGTGTGTGTGGTGTGTGTGGTGTGTGTGGTGTGTGTGGTGTGTGGTGTGTGTGGTGTGTGTGTGTGGTGTGTGTGTGTGTGTGCACACGCGCCAGGCCCTGCCCATGTGTGCAGAGGGCAGCCTCCTCCGCGTGCCCAGCCCCCCGCTGGGCCTTGGACCTGCTTCCCAAGGGGACCGAGCCAGTGACATTTCTCTTATTTGTTCTTGAAAACAAACCCTGCCGAATGCCCAGCGAGCGGGCAGGCGGGCAGCCTGCGGGCATTTCCTGGGCTGACATTTGCTCTGACCGCTCCCCACCCCCACCCCACCGCTCCCTTCCCCCGCCTTCCAGTGGAACTGGGGTCAGAGGCCAGCTCCCCTCCCCCACACCGTGAACCCCCTCCCCACGGCCGGCTCACCTGGCCCAGCACCTTCTCCTGACAAAGTCCTTCATTGTTTTATATCCGTGGTAGGAGCTGCAAGAGGAAGAGGAGGAGAGAATGTGCCTGACCGCCTGGGGAGGTTTGTGGGAACTGGCAGCTGGAGGTGAGACCAGCAGGGTGCGCAGCCTCGCCTCCCCCGGTGACCGGCCTGGGCTGGGGCCTCCGTGGGGGTCAGGGAGCAGTAAGGGGGCCTCGCTGGAGTCCTGTAGAACTGCTTACTTTGAGGGCTGGGGGTGTGGACAGAGAGGACCTGGATGCTGGTCCCGGGCCTGTATGTGACATCTCACAGGACGTGGCCGCGACACTGCTGCCCACGGCACCGGTCACCACCTGCCTAGCACCTGGCCCTGGGAGTTGGCGCCGCGCTTTCACCCTGGACAACCTCCCACACTTAGGGCAGGCACCAGCCGCCCCCCACAGGGTCCTGCCCCCGACCCTCCAGCCCTCCTGGCTTGGCAGGGGTGAAGGGCCAGGGCAGAGAGCGAGACTCACGCAGGGAAGTCGCTGGCATACTGCCACCCCTCTTGGTCAGTGCCACCTGGGACGCTGAAGTCCACGGACCAGTCCGAGACCTGGGGAGGAGGGGGCTGTGAGGGCCGAGGCCGGCAGAGGTGGGCCAGGGAGGACGGGGCTGGGGACTCACCCAGGTCCAGTGCGGGGACGGGGGCTTGGTGGTGGCCTTGGTGCATTCGTGCAGCCCAGTGGCATCACTCCACATGTAGCGGTCGGTGGGCAGACCCCTGGGCAGGAGAGTGGGCAGGGGTGATTGTGGAGGACTGGGAACAGGAGCCAGTGGTCTCCACGTGTGCTCGCTGCTCCCCCACCCCCCGTGTCCGCCAGCAGCTGCAACCCAGCCTGGCAGCCTCCTGTCATGGGTTCCCAGGATGTGGGCGTCCTGAGCCCCAGCCTGCAGGGTCCGTGGGACCCTCTCTGGAAGTGGAATGAGGTGGAACTGACCATGGTGGGCGCTGAGCCAATGGGTGGGCATCCTTGTCAAGGGGCAGATGTAGACACTGATGGTGTAGGACCCTGGGCTTGACAGCCACAGAGGCCCGAGACGGACCCCTGCCCAACCTGTGCCGCGCCCCGATGGTGTGCGGTGGTGGGGCAACAGCACACTGCTGTAGCCGGGAGTGGCGGGGGCCGGGTTAGGGCTGAGGTCCTAGAGCCCAGAGCTATAAGCCCAGGAATGCCACCTTGCCCAGTGCTTCCAGGCGTGGGGGAGATGCCGGCGTGGGCGGGTTTGGGATTATGCGAGTGGAGGTGGGGAGGGACCGGCCCCTGGGGAGATGCGGTGCGTGTGTTCATGCTCCCTTGGAGAGGAACCAGCCCTGTGCGAGACTGAGATAAACAGAGAGACACAAATATTTACACACTCAGAGACCCTGCCAGTGCTGCTTCTGACAGCCATAGCTCACCGTCAGTCGGGACCCGTGAGGCCGAGCGGGCCGGGCCTACGGGCAGGGGCACCCCGGAACACCCACTGCGCCCCACCCTTGGCTGGCGAGGCTTTTCAGTGTTTATGTTGTCAGTTTGGAAAAGGCAGGGGAGGAAATGAATTTCAGTGCTTCGCGTCAGGGTAACTTTCACCAAGTTCAAGGGAAGGGAGATGGAAGGGCGGGGTGTTTTGGAGTCCATGCCTGGAGGTTTCTTCTCCAAGTTCAAGAAGCAAAAAGTGCATATTATCAGAAAAGTATGCATGGCTGCCAAATCTGCTTGCACCAAAATGAAGTGAATGTTTAAGTTCTCTTTGTCCATGAGAGCCTAAAGGTGACCCTTGCATAGTCTTGTTTACAAAAAAAAAAAAAAAGAAAGAAAAAAGAAATGTAAGATGTTGAATGTGCCACTTATAACAGAAAATATGAAACACCTTCTAATACAAAGTATTTGGACCCTATGCAGAACACTGCAACATACTGTTAACACACTATCTCCCTGAAAGCTCCCCCCGGGGAGAAGGCAGCTAGATGGCGTGGTTCCTGCCACAGTCCCCAGGGAGCCACCTGCAGGCCGAGGCCACCCCCCAGCAAGGGCCGTGGCGCGTGTGCCGGACTGTGGCTAGAGCGCAACTACAAGTAGTTTCGAGAACAGAAAGACCTGGCTGAGAAGCTGGGGGAAATTCCTGGAAATCCCTGAAATTCCTGCATGGGGACAGGGACCATGCAGGCCGTAATGGCTCAGGGATGGCCTGGCAGGGACAGGAGGTCAGTGGCAGGAGCCAGCCTGGGCAGGGACATCTGATAGCACACAGAGGTGGCAGCGTGCAGCCTGGCCTGACTGTGCGGAGTCGCCGAGAAGCCCAGCAGCAAAAGCTGACACCTTGGCAAGGCCGCAGGTGCTGGCTTCCAGACGCCTCCCAAGGGGACAGATGCCAGGGGGTTGTCCAGAAGGGACAGGGACAGTGAGAAGCTTATCCAGGGCAGAGTTCCAGGCAAGATGAGTGACCCAGTATGACCCTGGGAGGAGGGCCCCGCTGTGGTCTGGGAGGCCCTGCCTAGCACGGCCCTTCAGGAGCCTCCTGGCAGTGGACATGTAGAACTGGTGTCCAAGCGACAGACAGTAGTGATGGCTGGGGACAGAGGTGTAGCCCTGGGTCCCGCCGACCTCATGTTCTCACAGATGGAACGGTGGGAGGTGACAAAGGCACATCCAGATACAAGCCCTTGCAACTCGGTGCTGTGCACCCAGCGCTCTGGTATCAGGCAACCACGTGAACAGGCGCAAGGCAGCCCACGGGCCGGAACCTGCGCACCATGGGCCCCGTGGGTGGTCTGCCTGGCCTGAAGGGGCGGGAAGATGAAAAGACAGCTGATGACTTTCTGTGATGTGTGAGAAGCCACGTGGAGCTTCCACGTGGAGTCTCCGCTGGCCACAGCCTGGCTATGACACGCCTGTTGAAACCCCAGACCCTGAAGCTGAAGGTGGCCAGAGCGGGGTGGCGGTGGGGCCCTCTGGGAGTGATGATCCTGGGCTGGCTCCCGGGACTGGATCCCATGGCTTCAAGGGCACGCTCATAGTGCTGCTGCCACCTGAGGCAAGCTGGGTGGCGGCTGCCACACCATGGACTTGAACCTCCAAAAAGAGCCCTTTTCTGTATGTAAAACTGGCTGGCTCCTGGCAGCAAGGAGATCCTCTCTCCCCAGGCCCAAGGTGGGTACTGCCTGCCCCTTCCCATGGCAGTTGCAATCCTGCAATCCTGCACCATCAGGGAGGCCTATACAGGGCCTTGCGTGGTGGAAAGGCAGGCTGGGTGTTGTGGCGTCACGGTTAACAGCCCCTGTGTCCCACATCTGGGGGTCTGGGTTTGGGTTCAGGTCCAGGTTCTGGTTCCCAATTCCAGTTTCCTGCAGCAGTGATGGCCCAAGCACTTGGCTTGCTGCCACCTGGAACAACCCGGATGGAGCTCAGAGCTCCTGGTGCCAAACCTGCCCAGCCCTGGCCACTCAGGGCGTTCGGGAGTGAACCAGGGGTTGGAAGCTTGCTTGCTAGCTGACAGTCAAATCATGACGGCCCACCCCTCGGGGTGGAAAAGCAAGCCAATGAAGGGGATGAGCTCGCTGCCTCCACTGTAGCAGGAGGGGCAGGAGGGCCAGAGGGGCAGAGGGGCAGGAGGGGCAGAGGGGCAGGAGGGGCAGAGGGGCAGAGGGGCAGAGGGGCAGAGGGGCAGGAGGGGCAGGAGGGGCAGAGGGGCAGAGGGGCTCAGAGGGGGCAGGGGGGCAGAGGGGCAGAGGGGCAGAGGGGCAGAGGGGCAGGAGGGGCTCAAAGGGGCAGGAGGGGCAGAGGGGCAGGAGGGGCAGAGGGGCAGAGGGGCTCAGAGGGGCTCAGAGGGGCTCAGAGGGGCAGAGGGGCAGGAGGGGCAGAGGGGCAGGAGGGGCAGGAGGGGCAGAGGGGCAGAGGCTCAGAGGGGCAGGAGGGGCAGAGGGGCAGGAGGGGCGGAGGGGCAGGAGGGGCAGAGGGGCAGGAGGGGCAGAGGGGCAGAGGCTCAGAGGGGCAGGAGGGGCAGGAGGGGCGGAGGGGCAGGAGGGGCGGAGGGGCAGAGGCTCAGAGGGGCAGAGGGGCGGAGGGGCAGAGGGGCAGGAGGGGCAGAGGGGCAGAGGGGCAGGAGGGGCAGAGGCTCAGAGGGGCAGAGGCTCAGAGGGGCAGAGGGGCAGAGGCTCAGAGGGGCAGAGGGGCAGGAGGGGCGGAGGGGCAGGAGGGGCGGAGGGGCAGGAGGGGCAGAGGGGCAGGAGGGGCAGAGGAGCGGGAGGGGCAGAGGGGCAGAGGGGCAGAGGGGCAGAGGGGCAGAGGGGCAGAGGAGCGGGAGGGGCAGAGGCTCAGAGGGGCAGAGGGGCAGGAGGGGCAGAGGGGCAGAGGGGCGGGAGGGGCAGAGGCTCAGAGGGACAGAGGGACAGAGGGGCAGAGGGGCAGAGGGGCAGGAGGGGCAGAGGGGCAGAGGGGCAGGAGGGGCAGAGGGGCAGAGGGGCGGGAGGCTTGGCTGTATTGCACTCCTGACCTCACCGCAGTCGCCCTGGTGTGTGACTTGTGCTAGGAGCCAGTGGTTGTGCGCTGCGTGAGCGCCACCTCTTAGTGAGCGGAACGGTCCAGTACCGCCCTCCGGCCCACATGGCCACCTGCTGTGGTCCGGGCTGTGCTCCCTCACCTGCTGGTGTAGCCCGTGACGGGGTTCCAGCGCTGGTTCTCATAGATGCAAACGCTCTTCACGTCAGACTGTGTGTAGATGTTACTGGTGCTGCTGGCCAGGCCTGGGCGGGGGGCAGAGCGGTGAGGAGGCCCCTGGGCCTGCGTGTGCTTGGGGGTGGGCCAGGCGCCCCTGTGTGGCCCCGAGGGCGGCCAGCGGGGCCTGGCTGGCTTGGGCTTCCCTCCTCTGGCCGTGAATCGTCCGGGGTACAGTGCTGCCCCATGCCGCCACTGGCCGTGCCCCGCTAACAGTGTAGCCTCAGACGACTTGGGGGGCCCAGCACCTCTTGTGTTGTGAGGTGGAGGTCAGGCGAGGGGATGCCCGGGCCCTACCTTGGAAGCAGCCGCCACCGTAGCCACCCGTGTACACCCAGGCTGTGTGGTCGTAGCCGATGCCCCACACGACACCCTGGCTGTTGGCCTCCACCAGCCGCAGGTGGCCACCCATCTGCCGCCAGAACCTGTGCAGGGCGAGAGGGGATTGCTGTCCGGCCTCGGTCCCTCCCAGCGCCGTGGCATTGGACACATCGCTGGGACCCTGGTGTGGTACTCCCTCTGGCGTGGACGGAGGCAGGACAGGGCCAGGAGTTGCTGGGTGCCGGCACTCTGCACCCTGGCCAGCCAGTGACAGAGCACCAGGATCTTGCGTCATGGCTGATTCATCCCCTGCACGGGCAGCAGGCACAGGGTGGAAGCCTGGCTGGCCTGCTGGGGCACGGGCTCGCCCTGACACCAGGGGGTGTCAGACACACCCGTGGCCTCCCAACAGCCTCAGCCCTGGTGTCCCCTGTCCAGCTTCCCCCTGGGGACTCACACCACTTCCTTGTATGACCCCAGTCCTTCTGTGGCTTTAAGTGCCCCTAACCACCCACCACGGTGGTTCCATCTTCCTCAACTCGGCCTGTTCCTGCCCTCCTGGTCACCATGACCTGTACCCAGCAGGTCCCAAGGCCTGGGCTCCCCCTCAGCACCCTGTCTGCTCTCTGCCTCCAGGACTCCTCGGGGCAGCGGCTCTGCCAGGAGCCCCGTGCTGGCCCCGGGCTTCAGGAAGGAGTGTTGCCCGCCCCAAGCCCAGCCTCCTGCAGACCTGGGAAGGAGTTAGTTGGTCAGCGAGCAGCCAGGTCCTGGGCAAGCTCTGGGTACTCCTGGGGCCAGGTGGGAGGTCAGGTCCCTGCCCAGGCCCTGCCCGGCACACCCGCACTCACATCTGGTCGCAGGGCAGAGGGCGCTCGGCAGCCTCCAGGTCTGGGCTGGGCTCACTCACGAAGATGTCCCCTTTGCAGGTGACAGACCAGATGGCCTGCGGGGACGGGCGGCCGTGGACCTTGCGGCTCTCGCAGCAGGACAAGCTGAGCAGGGCGAGCTGGTGGCCGTGGGCACAGGGTGGGCCAGTTACTGCTGGGTGAGCCAAGGCCAGGTGGTCCCTGGACCCCCACCCTGGGCGCCTGCTCACCCAGTCGTTCATGTCCTGCTCGGTGGCGGCTGCCAGGCGCACGGGCCACCTCTGCCGTGTCCTCTCGGGGGTGTACAGGGCGAAGGAGTGCTTGGCCTCGTTGAGTACTGGCACCAGCACTGTCACCTCATTGAGGAACACGTGCAGGTACTGTGCAGGGTGTGGGTGTGTGTGTGAGGGTGGGATTGGCACCCAGCGCCCGGGCCACTGTGAGCCCCCTCCCTGGGGGACCAGCGAGGCCAGTGCTGCCTGCCTGGTCCCTGCCATCTGCCCGAGCCCGACATCCTTCAGAGAAGCCAGCTCTGAGAGTGGCCGCTGGGCAGAGGCCATGGCTCGAGGCCAGGCTCCCATGTGCCCAGCACTGGTGGGGACCGAGAGACAGAGATGCTGGTACTGGGCTGGCCCTGCTTCCGCTGCCCTCCCCCTGGGCAGTGCCTTCCCCGTCATGCTGGCACCTTCTTCTCCTCGTGCATCATGTAGTAGATGAAGAGGATGCTGTCCCGGGCCCCGTCGTGCCCCGTGAACTGCTCCAGTGCCACACGCACGTCCACCCACTTGTGGGGCTTCCAGTCGCACCACCATTGCAGCGTGCCCGTCTTCACCCACACCGACTGTGGCACATGGGTGCCCACTGTGCTCAGACCCCAGCCCCGGTACGCCCCACCTCCCACAACTGGGAGGCCCCCCCCATCTGGGGGTCTGTTAAGCATCTCCCACCTCCTCCCAGACAGCTGCAGGGGTGCGGAGGAAGAGACATGGGGGGCTTCTGGGAGTCTGCCTAGTGGTCCCCGGGACCTTGCCGGCACCCAGGCCTCTTTGGAGACTCCCCCTGCCAACACACTGGTGTCACACCTTCTATAGGAAGGCATTAAGATGTAGTTCCGTGCGGTGGGTGGGCAATGGGCATTTTCCCCCATCCTCTGTGCACTGCAGCCCAGACACAGGGACCCCCACGGCCCCACGAGGGCACACACCTGCTCCACGGCCTGTTCATAGTGCCGGAAGTTCTCCAGCTCCCGCTTGGTCCTCTCGGTGAGCTGCTGGAAGATCTGCTTCCTCCAGGCGGCCGTCTGTGCCGACGTGATGGACAGGGACAGTGTCTGCACCGAGGGTGACAGGCCTGCGGGCAGCCAAAGCCTCAGGGCCGGGACTCGCTGGCTGGCTTCTCCCTCCCTGCCCACACGCCCTAAGTCAGCCCTGTTTCCTGGGTCTCTGCCCACCCCTGGCTTTGGGCCCTGGGCCTCACCCTTCTCTACAGTGTCCCGAGCCCAAGGCCTCTTACCCGACTGTGCAGAGAACCACTTGAGCACGGAGCCCGCCTCCACTGTGCAGCCACCCCCGGACACCCAGGCCCACAGTGGGTGGTCGGCCGCACCGCCAGGCTCCTCCAGGCCGCCCAGCAGCCCTAGGGACGAGAGGCCACCGGCCTGTGGGAGGCCGGCAGCCGGGCCGCTGGGCCCCGCGGGGGACTCCTTCAGGTCGATGTTGGTCCAGGGCAGCTCCGCCGGGCCAGGCTGCCTGTCCGGCCCGTCCTCCCCGCTGCCTGGGGCCTGGAGGGCATCGTGCACAGCACCGTCTGCCATCCCACCGGGCCCCGAGCCCGTGCCCGTGCTGCCCCTGCCGCCACTGGAGGTGTCCCAGGGTTCCACGGGGAGAGGGTGCTCGGGCCTGGGCCTGTCGATCTCTGAGGAGGCATCGCTGTCACTGGGTGCAGACTCGCCGCTGCCACCCCTCACCTCGTCGCCGAAGAAGCAGCCGGCACTGGGGACGGAACAAGGTGGCTGTCACGCCCCTGGTGTGGGGGGAGCTGGACGGGCACTGGAACTACCGTGTCACCACGTACGGTGGCCTGGGTGGACGCCTGGCTTGGGCTCTTCGGGGTGTGGATGTGGAGCTGGCCCTCCTGAGGCCTGGAGGCTGCGCAGCTGCCACACCTGTTCACGGTGGCCGTGGTTGAGGCCCTGGCCTCAGGAGCCTTGCAGGTGTTTTGTAAGTTCCAGCCACCCTGGGCTGTGTGGGGGTCGTAGTAACTGACCACGTGGGGCCACGTTGTGCAGTGCTAAACCGAATTTTCAGACTCGGTCCTGGACCCTCAGCGCACCCGTGGATTGAGAGGCTCCTCTCCACTCCGGGTGGTCTGGTGTCTCCTGAGAGGGTCAGCCCTTGGTTGACCCCACGCTGCCCTTTCTGGCTTGCGTCCGTGGTGCTGCTGGTAGGTCATGGGCAAGTCCCTGGTACCAGCAGCTGCGGGAGTCCAGCCCTGAGCTGCTAGCTGGGGTCGGGAACCCGGAGCTCAGGTGGGTGAGTGCCCGCCTGGCGGAACCAACAGTCACCACTCGTGGGCAGCAGAGATGGCCTCTGGGGGGCCTCCCAAGCCTGGTCCCCAGGCTACCACAGCAGCTCCACCTGGGACCCTGTGAGAGATGCCAGATCTCGGCGGGAAACAGGTGGGGCCTTGCTCCTTGAGACACCTACTATGTGCGAGTGCCTGCTGCCGGGCCTGCCTCCCTTCAGATGGGAGAGGCCTAGGGGTGAGCAAATCCCCCCATGGCAGCCTTCTCCCTTGACCTTGAGGCTTCAGAACCAAATGGCCAGCTCCCCTCAGCAGGGAACCCTGTCCTGGCCCTGCAGCCCCTCCCATGCTGACAGCTCTGGGTAGTCATGGTCACGTAGGAGCTGAGGGACCCGTGGGCTCTCGCACACAGGTGGCACTGGGGTGGGAGGAGGCCTGTTTCCCCTGCCGTGGACAGGCCCAGCGCCCCGAGCCTGCTCTGCTGGCCCCCCCTCACCTGAGCAGGCTGGATGAGCTGCCCGAGTAGGACCGGTCACACTCGCGGCTGGCAACAATGGCCTTCCATGTCTTGCCACTGAGCTCGCTGGGGGTGACGCCCTGGCGGAAGTGCATGGCCCGGTCCTCACAGCTGATGCCCCAGACCTGTGGCAGAGGGGGACCTTCTGTTGGGAGGGGACTAGAGTTCAGGTCGGAACCAGGGGTCCAGCCCCAGCTCCCCAGTCCCTCGCTGGGTGGCCTGGCAGACGCTGAGCTGGGCAGTGAGGGCTGCCCTTGTCTCAGTGCTCCTTGGGGCCTGCCTGGCACCAGGCGGGCAGAGGGGGGTGAGTCGTGCTGGCAGCCACGAGGCAGCTTGAGCCCCAGAAGTGCACAGGCGCACCTGGTCATTGAGCCCCACGTTGACCATGGTCATCTCGCCGACCATCTCGATCCAGCTGGTACCGCACGGGTTGTGGGAGTTGACACCTCTTCGGAACCAGACCTGGGGCAGGGGACACCGAGAGAGGGGCGGTGCTATGGTTTGTTTTTAGGGATCTGGGAAGAATGAACGAGGGCCCATGGCCCACGCCTCGTCTCCCCCTGAGCTCTGAGGTGGAGATCCCCAGAGTGGCCGATGGGTGGGAAGGGTCCGTGTTTCCAGGGGGGACCTGCGTGTGCCCCTGGACGTGACTTTGATAATGTACTGGGGGAGCCTGAGGTCCTATGGAGGAGCCTCCAGTGGCTGGATGAGGATATGTGGGTTCAGGGTGCATACAAGGAGGTGGGTGTGGGGTGAGGGGAGGTGTTGCAGCTGCACAGCTGGGCGTCCTGGACGCTGCCCACAACCCCAGCAGCAAAGTGCACGGCTGCCTGGGGGTTGGGGGTGAGGGCAGGAAGCCGCCCTTGGGTGTTCCTCTCCTCCCTGGGTCTTACCTTCTGGTCCTTGGTGACTGCCCAGACCACGCTGACGCCCACAGAGACATGCAGGATCCCGCTGTCAGGCCCGGGGGGCTCGATGGTGGTCCAGGAACTCCCTAGGAGCCCCCAGAGAAGCCCCCCGGCAGCCTCTGTTAGCAGCCCCCGCCCCCAGCGCTGGAGCGCACATGCCCCCTCCCTGGGCTGGTACTGGATGGGGGTGGTGGGAGGCCCACCTTTGGGGTTGTTCCTACTGATGCCTTCTCGGACCAGGGCTGGCCCCTCCCACAGGGTGGCCCACAGGAGGTCATGGGGCCCACAGCTGATCTGGGCCACCTCCCCCGGCGTGTCCACCAGGGTCCATTCGGAGCCCTCAGGGTTGGCATGGTTGACGTCCTCTCTGTACCACACCTGGGAGGTGAGAGCAAGGCGTGGCATTAGTGTGTTCAGCTGGGGCATAGGTGAGCCTGGGGTCTCTGGGTCAGTGTACCCCATAACACCATCCAGGGCCTCCTCCTCAGCCTCCTGTGCTGCTGGTTAGCCCACTCCCCCCAAACCCCCAATGAAAGATAATGCAAACCCTGCAGCTAGGCGGTCCTGGGATGGATCTACCCCATTCACGAGACCCCCAAACAGCTCTCCAATCACAGGCTCTGGGCTGCTCCCAGCCAGTGTGGGCCTCTGGCGCCCTCTAGTGGCCATGTGCCCTCAGGTTGTGGTCTCCAGGGGAAGCCCCAGGCTTCCCCGCTTTGCTCCTTAGCCTGGACAGTTCAGATTGAGGGCGCCCCCCTCCCGCCCCCCGACCACCACTACCCTGTTGGTGAAGCTGTGTGGCTCATCCAACTGGAGGAGGCTGCCTGGTCACCAGTCCTCTGGTTGGAGGGGACCAGAGCTGGGAAGGCACTCCCCTGCCCACAGGTGGTATGGGGTTGTGGGTCAAGAACTGCCCTGCAGCACCCGGTGCTCAGGCTCCCTGGGGGGGTGCCTCCCTCTGTCCCTGCCTGCTCCTGCCCCTCCTCCCTTGGATACAGCTCAGAGGAAGCAGTGGCAGTTAACCAGTGCAAGGGCTTCACCACAGTCTGCCCTAAGCAGCACACGGGCGGCCGCAGGCGCGTGGTCAGACACGGAGCAGTCGCTGCACGCATAGGTCTGTCAGCATGAAGTCCACCTGTGCTGCCTTTAGCCCTCTGTTCACACGCACCCCCAGGAAAGGGTCCCCTCTTTCTACACACTCACACAGTGAACACCGGTTTCAGCCCCACTCACCCTTCCACGCACACAGCATCCCATCCAACACCCACCCATATATCAACCCATCCACTCTGCCCTTATATCACCCCAGCCACCACCAACTCCTCCACCCACACATCCATCCATTCACCTGGCACCCCACCCACCACCAACCATCCATGTCTCTGCCTGCCCAGCCACAGGGGATTGGTAGGGAGCCCAGGACGGGTACCTGCTGGCATCCCGGGGGCTGGAAAGAGGACAGGCAGGTCCAGGTGCAGGTCCTGGGGATCCGAGCCATGAACCCCAGGACCACTGGACAGGAGCCAAAGGAGGGGGACTGTGTGAAGTCCAGGCGATGAGCGGCAGCCTGGCTCCTCCTGTCCCTGCCTGCTGCTGCCTGTGTCTGCCCTTACCTTCCCCTGCAAGGACACAGCCCACACGGACAGGCGGCCCACGGGCTCCTCGGTAATCTCCCACCCGCCCACAGAGAGATCGTTGAAGGGGTCAGGCAGTTGCTTGGGGTCGTCCTTTGAGGGGATCTGAAACAAGGGGACAGACAGGGGCGGCACTTAGTCTGATGGGCACCTGGCCCGCGCCTAACTTTCTGGGGCAGCATGGGCTCTGGGCCACCGTCCCCGAGTGGCGGTTGCAGGTGGGGCAGGGGACAGGCCGTGGCTGCTGGGAGACCCTCCAGCACCCGTGTCCTCCCACCAGGACCGCACAGCTGCCCCCACTGCGAGTCACACTTGGCCACAGCGACCTTGGCCCAGGCATCCCGGGACTTGTACCGCCGGTATCGGATCCACTTGCGACGCCGCACGCATGAATTCCATTTCTTGTCTCTCGTGTAAGTGGCGGGGAAGTCGATGGCATAGGTCCACCCCTGGAATGTCAAGATAGGGGCTTCGTAAGGGCCCTTGGACGGGGACGGACCTGAGGGGCTGGGGAAGGTGGGGCAGAAGAGAAGGCTGAGGCTGGGGAGCAGGGTGCTGGGTGACGGCGCAGCCCACCCCAGCCAGCACAGGTCAGACGCGGGAGTGGGGGGCGGGTGCCGGGGAAGGCAGCACAGTGGGGGGCATGGTGGGTCCCACGTTCACCTACCCCCTTTTCGGTGGGTTCCCCGCCAAAATTCTCGTCCACGTACCAGTCTGACTCCCACTCCCAGTGCGGGGAGGGCAGCGCCACCCCGTCCAGCGGCCGGGGCTGCAGCCCACTCACGTCACTCCACGGCCAGCGGTCACTGGGCAGGAGCTTCTCGCAGAAACCGCCCATGGGGTTCCAGCGCTGGGGGGAGAGGGGCGGCCTTAGGGGGCAGGCATTGGGGACGCCCCATCTCGCTGCATCACAAGCCACGGGGACCTGGCAGGGCCCCCAAGGGTGCATCCTCCATCCTCGGTTACCGGAAACTGCCTGGAGCCCCCTCCCTTGTGTGGCCAAGGCCAGACACATTTTCTTGGGGGACTCCATCCAGAGACTCCCTGGCTGTGCAGGAAGCGAGGGTGGGAATGGGCAGGGAGGCTGGGGTCCCAGGGTGGCAGCCGGAGCACGCGTGCACACATGTGGCCACCTGGTTCTCGTAGGCCTCCTCGCGGCGGCGGATGGGGACGTCGCTGGCGCACACAAACACATAGACCTGGTTGTCGCAAGCGATCCCCCAGCAGCACTGTGAGGTGGCGCTGACCCGCTTGAATTCCAGCTGCACGTCCCTGCATGGCTCCCAGTACTGGCCGGCCGTGGACAGCGTGTGCACCCTGCCGAACAGGTCTACCGCCCACAGCAGCGAGGCGGGCATGGTGGCGGCGAGCTGCAGGTGGGAGTGCGAGGCTCAGCTGGCTGGCTCCCAGCCCTCCTGCAGGGGGCCTGGGCAGCCAGGGCTCACCGCCCAGGCCAGGGCCAGGCAGGCAGCCTGTCCGGAGGCTTGAGCTGAGCCATCTGGCTCCTCCATGCCCAGAGCCAGTGGGCGCTGCAGGCTTGGTGGTGGTTGTCAACAGCACCCAGGCAGAGCCCCAGATCTGGAAGTGGGAGTGCTTGCCGGGCCAGACTGCATGTCTGGGAACAGAGCGTGTCTCACCAGCAGGCAGCAAGAAGACACCGCGTGGGCTGAGGAGGGGGTGGCTAGGTCCGGGCAGATGGGAGGGGAGGCTGCAAGGCATCTGTGCCCCTCGAGCAACCCTGTGGGGGGAGCTCACAGCACCTGCGTGGGGGGGCATCTGAAGCCAGCACCTGTTGCCCAACACCTCCAGCTGCCCAGCTTTCCTGTCTGCTCAGGCCACGGGGTCCTTTTACCTTGCTGGTGACCAAGAGCGGCCACAGCTGCCCGGATCCCTGAGGCCGATGGCTGTGTACAAGCCACCCTTTTGAGCGGCACTGGGAGTCAACTCTCCCTGTCTTGATTTCCTGTCCTCTGAAACGCAGGCTCTGAGAGTGGGCAGTGCCCTGTGCAGGCTCTGAGAGTGGTCAGCGCCTGCAGGCTCTGAGAGCGGTCAGCGCCCGCAGGCTCTGAGAGTGGTCAGCACCCCGCAGGCTCTGAGAGTGGTCAGCGCCCGCAGGCTCTGAGAGCGGTCAGCGCCCCGCAGGCTCTGAGAAGTGGTCAGCGCCCGCAGGAACTCCGTGGCACCCCGGCTTTTGACCAGTTTCACTTGTTACCACAAACTGCCAATGAGCTCTCATTTTAAAAATATTTTTTATTTATATGTATATTTACATATATTTAAAGTTCTGTGTGTGTATACACACACACATATATATTTACTTGAAAGGCAGAGAGAGATTCCATCTGTTGGTTCAGTCCTCACATACCCACAATAGCCGTGGTGAAGCCAAGCTGGGGCCAGCAGCCCAGATGCGTGCGGGGTCTCCCCCGTGGGTGGCCACCCCAAGAACCTGAGTCATCACTGGCTGTCTCCCTGGGCGCATGCAAGCGGGAAGCTGGGGAGGAAGTGGAGCTGGGTGTGAATCCAGCGACTGATGTGTGGGCGTTACGACCAGGGGTCCAGGTGACAGCCCCAGCGCAAAAGAGAGCAAGCCGCTTCCAGCTGGCCATGCCCTGCACGCGGTGGGGGCTCACACAGCTCTTACAATCCTCACAGGGGCCTGTGGCGGACAAGTGCTGGCATCCCAGCTGCTCCATTCCCCACACAGCTCCCTGCTTGCAGCCTGGGAAAGCAGCGGAAGATGGCCCCCATGCGTGGGTCCCTGCACCTGCGTGGGAGACTCGGAAGAAGCTGCTCCAGACTTCGAGCTAGCCCAGCTGTGGCGGTTGTGGTCATTTGGGGAGTGAACCAACAGAAAGAAGATCTCTTCACTGTCTCTCTCTCTCCATCCCTCCCTCTCTTACTGCATCTCTGACTCTCAAGTAGAATAAATAAAAATCTGGACGAGAATCCCCAGCAGCTACCTCCAACAGAAGTGAAAGAAGTGAGGTCACAGTCAGGGAAAGAAATGTGAAGAAACAAACATCCAGAGTGTCTGGGGCAGGGGGTTCTCGGAGTGTTGTCCCCAAGGTGGCTGAATGTTTTAAAAGCATCATGAACTGCTGGCTGGGAAAGCAAGGTATCTTAAAGACTGCTCCCAACACAGTGTCTGAGCCAGCAGCTCAGGCAGACCCAGTCTGCAGGTCGGGCTCAGTGAACAGAAACTGCCTGATAATTAATACACTTTGCCTTTCCGGGAAAATGACTCAGCAGTAATACCCTCACAGCCCTGATGGAACTTTCTGGGTCTTCTTTGGAAGAACGCTGGGGGTTGCAGGCAGAGCATGGGGTGGAGCTTGGGTCGATAAGCTCCTGTCAAAACAGTACAGGCTCAGGGGCTGGCACAGTGGCTCAACTGGCTAATCCTCCGTCTCAAGCTCCAGGATCTCATATGGGTGGCAGTTCAGGTCCCAGCTGCTCCACTTCCTATCCAGCTCCCTGCTTGTGGCCTGGGAAAGCAGCAGAGGACTGCCCAAAGCCCTGGGACCCTGCACCCCCATGAAACTCCCGGAGGAAGCTCTTGGCTTCAGATAGCCTCAGCTGACCACGATCATGAGGCTAGCAGTCCCTCGGATGTGGCGGAAAGGGCCCGGGGGACCTCTACTGCGAGGGTGAAGGCAGGCCACTTGTGACTCCCCAAGCACCGCTACATCAGCCAGGTGGCCCGGCTCTGTGCTCATCTCACTGGGAGACCAGCTCACCCTCGCACCTTTTTTGCATCGGTTTATTCACAGACCACAAGGGTCCCCAGGGACAGAGGGCAAGCGTAATTCCAGAAGGGACCTCAAAAGCAGACGCTACCAGAGAGCAGAGGCTGTTGGCTGAGCGCAGAAACCACTGCAAAGTGGAGCGGAGCATGGGGGCAAAGGAGGAGAGCATGGGGCGTCATTGCAGGATCGGGTGCCACCCTCAGCCCTAGCAAACAGGAGATGCTGTAAGTCAGCCTGGCTTGAGACCCAGGGGTGCCAGGAAGTTGGTCAACAGACGGACCCCCGCCCCCGCACAGCCACTGCCCCAGCTATAGGTCCAGCGTCATGGCCCTGACCATCTGTCTGCGCTAATCCCACAGGCTGATCTGCCCGCGGGAGAGGGTTGGCCGGGCCCCTGGTTACTGGAGTGCATGAATCCTGGGACAGGTGTCATCTAGAGCCCGGCTACACACACACACACACACACACACACACACACGGCTTTCTGGGTTGGGGGGTGCAGGCGGGCAGCATCCTTAGATGTGCAGGTGACAGCACACCTGCCGGTCACACACACACGGTTGGGTGAGCAGCAGCCTAGGGTGTGCAAGCAACGGCGCACCTGCCGGTCACACACACACAGTTCTGGGGTCGGGGGGCGCGGTGGGCAGCAGCCTGGACACACACACACACACACACACACATGGGTGGTCAGCACCCTTGGGTGTGCAGGCGACAGCGCGCCTGCCGGTCCCTGCTCTCCCTCCGAAATCGGGAATGAGGGCAAGCAGCGGGGCGGCCGCCCGCTCCCGGCCCATCCTTCCCTGGCGGCCCTGGCCGCGCTGGCCGCCCCGACGCCCGGCGGGACCGGCCCTTCCCCGGGGGGCGCGCGGGAACTCACCGGGCCCGGAGGGGCGGAGGCTGCGGGGCTGCGGGTCCGGCGCGCCCGGCCCTCCCGGGCCGCAGGGGAGGGCGGGCCGGAAGCGGCCGTGGGGCCGGCGCTCAGTGGCCAGCCGGGCCGTGACGCGGCGCGCGGGGACACGCGATTGGTTGTCGAGAGGCCCAGCTTCGGTCGGGGGGCCTCGCCGGGAGGTCAGGCGCCCGCCCACTTCCGGGGTCAGCTCGGGGACCCGCGTGGCCGCCGGGGCTGGACGGGGGAGGAAGCAGCGGGCGGCCACGATGGACGCCCCGGCCGGAGCGGGCCTGGGTGCGCCGGCTGCCCGGCCCCGAGGGGACCCCTGGGTGCGCCGGCTCCGGTGCCGCACGCAGAGGCGGGAGGCCCCGCTGTCCTCCGTTATCACCAGCCCGGTGGTTGGTGACTCACCGGGTGAGAGGGCTGGCTGGTCTCACCTGGGCGATAAGAGGCAGCTGGGGGTGGAGGACGAAGGGGGTGAGGCTTGTGGCCTTGCATCGCTGGTGCCTGCGTCCCACGTGGGAGAGAATGCTTGGGTCCCATGGGGTGTTCCTGCTCCTGCTAACGCAGACCTGGGAGACAACGGGCGATGGCTCCAGCGTTAGCTGTTCACATGGGAAATGTGGATTTTAACTCCTGGCTCCTGGCTTGGTCCGCCATTGTAGGGCACTTTGGGAAGTGAAGCAGTGGATGACACCTGTTTCTGCCTCTTAAACATTTAAAAGAGAGAGGGGGGGCCCAGCACAGTGGCCTAGAGGCTAAAGTCGTCACCTTGCATGCGCTGGAATGTTGGAAAGGCAGACATGCAGAGAGGAGAGACGGAGAGATCTTCCGTCCACTGATTCACTCCCCAAGTGGCCACACAGCTAGAGCCGAGCTGATTCCAAGCCGGGAGCCAGGAGCTTCCTCCAGGTCTCCCGCGCGGGTGCAGGGTCCCAAGGCTTTGGGCCGTTCTCAACTGCTTTCCCAGCCCACAAGCAGGGAGCTGGATGGGAAGTGGAGCTGCCGGGACCTGAACTGGCACCCATATGGGATCCTGGACTTCAGGCACTAGGCTCCTTTGCCAGGCCCAAATAAAATCTTTAAAAATATATGTCTTTAGAAAAAAATAAGAGAGGAGGGGCTATACCCCACTGTGACCCTAGGGGTTTGCTGTGTGGGCAGAGCCTCGGTGGTCGGGGTTGGCAGGGCCTCGGTGGTCGGGGTGGGCAGGGCCTCGGTGGTCGGGGTGGGCAGGGCCTCGGTGGTCGGGGTGGGCAGGGCCTCGGTGGTTGGGTCGGCGTGAGTGGCCACTGGGTGGCATTTGCTCTGTCTGCGGTACTTGGTCTAATAAAGGTCTTGGGGGACCCCCAGGCAGCATTTCTGTGCCATGACCAAGTTCAGTGCTCAGGTACCCACGTTCCCCACGCTGGATCTCCCTGGTTCCCAGCTTTGCCGAATCTGGTTCTCTCGTACGCACACTCTCTTGGAAGATGCATTTATTTGAAAGGCACAGTGCCAGAGAGGGAGAGACAGACGTCTCCCATTTGCCTCAGTCCCCCAATGGCTGTGACAGCCTGGGACTGGGCCAGGCTCAAGCTAGGAGCTTCTTCCACGTCTCCCACGCGGGTGGCAGGGGCCCACGCATTGGAGCTGTGCTCTGGCGATGGCACCCAGGCAGGGGACTGGAGCAGAGGTGGAGCAGCTGGGACTCTCATAGTAACGTGAGAAGCTCCGTGTGCTGG